CCTGGAGGTGGAGAAAAGGATATTGTCTTGGGGCTCATGCTCTGGAAGCCCCCCTCCATATAGGCATGAGGCCCTCCCTGACCCCTGCAGACCACAGAAAAGACTCACTGTCCCTTCTCGCCTGGGATTTCCCTGGGTGTGTACCAACCAAGCACAAACCAAGCTTTTGTTTTGAGAGTGGTCTTAAAAATACATATATTGCTTTTGTTCTGTGTTATTTTCTATCAGGCTTCCAGAATCTTTCAGGCGTGACCATCTATAAATTAAATTCCACTACGAGCCCATCAATGGGCCCATTAACTGGGTGATTCACTGTGGCTATTGTGTTTGCTCATTATGTGCATTGATGGTCTCTGAGAAGCCGCATTCCCCTGAGAGCCAAGACAGAAAAGAAAGCAGAAAGCATTTGAAAAGATCAAATATGAGGCTTTTATTTATTTTATTTTTTTGGTGGGGGGGGTGAAGGAAGGAGGATTTCATTTGTTTTCTTTTGCTGAATTAAATTTTAAACAAAAAGACAAAGAGGAAAGCATGGTGGTGGAGAGTAACTGGACTTCTGGGAGCGATCATGTTGTAGCGTATATAGACGTCAAATTAGAATGTGGTCTATCTGAAACATGTAATAAAGAAGGAATATAAAAAGAGGAAAGAAGCTTTATGGGGTTTCTTGAAACTTAAAGAACTCAGAATTACTCTTGCTTCTTAGATTATCTTTTTTCTTTCTCTCCTCAAGATTAAAAAGAACCAGGAGCATTTATCTAGAAGGCGCATAAAAAGGCTGAATTCGAAGACTAGCTCTGGGGAAGCCAAGGCTGAGTGGCAGGACCTCGAGCCCCGCGTGGAGCCAGAGCTCAGTGTGGCCCGTCAGTCCTCCCACTCCCCTGAGCCATGGTTTTCTCATCTATAAAATGAATGGGTTCTGGCAGGTGACGTCTTTCCACTGAGCTCCGAGCTCTGAGGATCCTTAAAGTGCCAACTCTGGCAAAGGAAGAAGCTAAATCCAGACTCCACCTTCCACTCTGCATCTGCAACCCGTGGGCAGAGCCTGTCTATTCTGGCATGTTCTGCATTCATTTTCTGCTTTCATAAACCAGAATGAGCATCCCCCCGGAGGTTCCTGACTCCGCCTTCTCCTGTACAAACCTTTCCTCGGCCCTTCCATTGAGGGGGGAGACGGGAACCCAGAGTTGGTGGGACATATGCGTACCATGGGTGACTGTACAGGTGGCAGCCCCTGGATCCATCTCTAGAGAGGAGTTGAGCCTCTCTCTAAGTCTGGAAAAGCTGGAGGAGGGACCTGAGGGACCCTGGGAAGAGGGGGTCAGTGAGGGACTACTTCCCGGCCAAGTGTAAATCCAACAGGCAGCCATCAGAGCTATGCACACAGGAACATCAGGTTCGGGCCAGGTGGACAGGCCTAAATCTGGGCAGCCATTCCAATCAGGAGTAAACAAAGGTAGACACTGAGGAAAGAAGATGTGACAAGGTGCCCGCCCAGCATGGCTCAATGATTGAGTGTTAACCTATGAACCAGGAGGTCACGGTTCCATTCACATGCCCAGGTTTGCAGGCTCGATCCCCAGTAGGGAGCATGAAGGAGGCAGCTGGTCAATGATTCTCTCTCACCATTGATGCTTCTATCTCCCTCTCCCTTTCCCTTCATCTCTGAAATCAATACAAATATATATATTTTTTAAAGGAGCTGTTACAGAGGGGATTCACTCCTTGCTTAGTGGCTTGGTTCCCTCCCACATGGATGCCACCTTCTCTGTCTTTCCTCCTGTGTCTCTAGACCTACTATGGTATCAAGCACATGGCAGCTACTTACTATCTGTTTGATTTGAGGCTGGCACCAGGGTCTGACTCCCAACTTCAACTCAGGTCAGTAAGGGACTCCAGTTGAAGGGCCTTGTTCCCAAGACCAGAGACAGCCTTTCAGGGGCTTTGGAGAGGATACAGAAGGGAAGGGGTCCAGGATGGGGCTGGGGGCTTAGGAAACAGGCTGTCGCCTGTGCCCCTGGACACCACAGCCTTGCCAAGGTGACACATAGAGTCAACCATCACAGAGGTGTGAATGGGTGAGGGGTGGTAATGAAAAAAATCTCATTGTGGTTCACTCAGTACTGAGTTCCTCGGGAAAGAGTCAACAGCTCAAACCTTCAGGGGCTTGTTAGCTAAGACAGTAGGGGGTGAATGGTTGGGCTTTAGGAGCTCCAGAGAAAAAAAAACCATATGCGAATATATTCAAATTTAAACTTTTTTTAAAAAAATCTGAGGCAAGAAGGATGTGTATGTCCTTCCATTTTTCTGGGTTCTGTGGGGCAAACACATAAAAGGTGTCTGGTGTCCAGGCCATTACACATCAAATCCCCAAGAAATTGAACTTTGCTCAGTGTGCAAGGAGAGTGCTAAGCATTTCCTGCATTTAAAAAAAAAAAAAAAAAAAAAAAAAAAAAGCTGTGTACAGGAATATAACCACCCTTACCGCTTAGGGACCAAATGAAACGAACAAAATAGGTGTCAATCACTTGGAGAAGTTGTTTGTGACAACTGATGTGGTGACTATTTTAAGGGAGTTAGAGGTACGGCCTTCAGCTGCAGAAATGATTATAATGGCCTCTCCCGGGCAAGAGTTGGAGAACCAGTTTATTCTGGTATTTGCTGGAGTCTTCCCGAATTAGCTGGAAAACTTTCGAAAATTGGCCTGACATTTCCAGGAGTCACAGAAGTTTAAAAAGTAGGCTGCAGAAAGATTCTAGCTGATTTGGTTTGTAAATTTGCAAAAAATATGTATATATACACCTTCTGTATGTTACAAAAGAGTCATCTCTACTCATATTTCCACAGTGAGTGTGTGACAATATGTGTGGCCCCCAATTATCTCGTCTCCTGGTCCTCATGTGCCTCCCTGTGTAATCGCCTCACCTGGTTGTAAGCTAGCCTGAGACTGCTTCTAAACAACAGGCTACGGCAAAATTGATGGGATGCCACTTCCATTATTATATTCCATAAGATTGTAACTTTCCCCTTGTCTCCTTAGTGTGCCCATTTTGATGAAGCAAGTGACCATGTTAGGGAGGCCCATGTGACAAGGAACACTGGGCAGCCTCCAGCCAACACACAGCAAAGAACTGAAGCTCTCAGTTCAACAAGCCCCAAGAATATGAATCCTATCAACAACCAGGGGAAGGAAGAATCAGTCCTTCCCCTGGTGAGCTTTCAGATGAGACCCAACCTTGACGGACACCTTGATTACAGCCTCAATAGAAACCCTACAATAGAGGACCCAGAGCCAGGCTGGAAAAAATGAGGACAGAACTAACAGTGAGCAATGCTCACAGGAGCAAAAAGGGAGGGCCAGAATGAGAGACATACGGGGATCTATTGCTAGGGTCTGGCAGTGATGTGGGGGCAAGATGCCCAGGTTGCTGGTTTGGAAACTAAGTGGGCAATGGAGCCACTCACTGGTGAAAGGGCCTGGTTCCACTGGAGGGTAACCAATTAGAAAGGCCCAGAAGATAGTTGGATGCTCATGTCTAGAACTTAGAGGAGAAATCAGAGTGTAGCTATAGATTTATGAATCAAATTCTATCTGGATTTTTAAAAATGAAATGATACAGTGATTAAATAATTTTGAAATCATGATATCATTAAAAAGGGAAATGAGAAATGATGAAATGACACCATCATCTTTCTAGATGGTCAGTTTACAGTGACAAAATATATCACAACAACTCACTCAATTTTCTCTTCATCCCATTGCAGTCCACAGTCTACATACAAATCCTGGATGGAGAGTCTTAGGCTATCACTAGTCAGTTCCTGGGGCCCTTTATTCAGATGAATAGCCAGGGACATCCACTGAGGGCCCACTGTGGGCCCTGGGAAGGCCACGCCCTGCAAATCTCTGCCCTCAATGAGATGATAGGTCAGAAGGCTTCTCAGACATGATTATAGCTACAAGTTGAACAAAAGTGAAATTTCAGTTCAAAGGAGTACTGGGTGAACCTGGTCTCCCACTTGGGGAAGGTTTCTCTGAGGATGTGACAATTGGCTGAGCTCAGAGCATGAGTCAGGGGGAAGGAAAAGAGGACAATGGGTATTTGAGAAAGAGAAAACAGTGCCTGAAGGAGCCTGGGGAAGAAAGTAGAGATAGTCCAAGGTCCAAAAGGAGGCAAGCGTGACCCAAGTGGAGAAAGTCGGTAGGACAATTGTCAGAGGCACTGACCAGGTCAAGAGGCCCTGAGGAGGACAGTATCATCAGTAAAAAGCTCATGAAACACCTGTAAAAGAACAGGAAATACATTCTGCTTGGCTCATTAAATAAGGTGTATGATAGTGATGGTCTGTGATAATGCATGCCCTAATTAATTTCAGCAAATCAATTGGACTTAAAATAATCTCTTCATAGAAAATGCCACTGCAAAGTATCTATATTATATAGGAGTTCAATAAATACTGTTTGAATCCAAGCTGCTATTGTTAAATAGTCTGCCTTCCTACACCGATGATGTTTGCTAGCCTGGGGTCAAATTCAGCTAACATAGGAAAGCATCTAGAACATTTCTTAGCCCACAGGCACTGTCCTTGTTTGACCATTTGGTGAAGTAAGATGCTCTTCATTTTACAGAGCAACAGCACGGAGATTCATAGAGCGGAAGAGGGGGGTCCCACAGTGACCCTGCTGATGTGGGGAGCAGGCCATGTCTTCACCTTGACTGGAGCACCTCTTCTATCTCATGCTTCTGCCCCTTGAAAAATAAAGCTCATACATTAAAAAAAAAAAAAAAAAAAAAAAGTAATTCAAAGTAATTCAGTTCCTTAAAACATGGATTTTTTTTTTAACCCTAATGAAAATGCAAAGACAAATTTGGAAATATGTGTGAGATGTTAAATACTGAAATCTGACTGAGTGGTTATCTCTGTGAATGAAAGCACTTAATTTGTTTATTCCAGCTTCTTACTATTTCCTGACTATGACCTATTTTCTCTCATCCCAGGAGTAATAGAAGGGCAATGATAGAAGGATCCAGTGATCTGAAATTCCAGAACTTGGCTCTGCTGAAAAATAGGTGAGAATATTTTCTTGATTAATAGAAAAGTGGAAGAATTTGATTCTGTGGCCATGAAGCTGACCATCTTTAGCTCAATTTCTCTCTCTCTCTTTTACACACGCACACACGCACGCACATACACAATCAATGTGATAGGACAGCATTGCTGGCAGTGACCTTCGAGGTGATATGAAGGGAAAGGAACTTGATGTGGCTGGCCTGTCGGCACATGTGTGATGCAAGTGTAAGTGGTGTGTGTGATCCACGAGTAGGCTGAGAAGACCCCCAGGGCTATTTCCTTCACCCACCCAGGGTTCCAAACAGCCCAAGAAACGCCACTGAGAGGGAGCCTTCCATTCCCCAGCCGATGAATGATTTACATGATGGTTTGTGAGTGGGTCAGGCCCAAGTCCACTGCCAGGTCTCATGAGCAAGGAGACTAGAGAGAGCCACTGCCTCTATGGTTTCTGTTACCAAACAATTCTGACATCAAGACTTGCACAGGCTACTGAGAAGGCAGAGAGGAAAGAAAGTCCTGGCTTCAGGGGGCTCACAGCCAAGTTCTAGCTCAGGATGGGGACAATCGTGATAAAACCACTGACAGGAGACAGACCCTGAAGTCAGGTCCAGCTGTGCTGTAGACCAGTGTCTGGGCAACACTGCTCAGAGGGAGTGCAGGTCTTCCTGAGCTGGACAGAACTCCCTCACCATGGCCTGCAGGAGCAGTCTCTGTGCCTGGGATCTCCATGTGTTAGGCCAGTCCTTGAATCCTAATCTACTTCAACTCGGATCAATCGCCAGACACATAATCAGTTCCTACTATGTGCCGGGCACAAGGAGCCTTCCCAGGGCCCTAGGATTTACGTGAAGTCGTTCTCCTAGGCAGAGGGAGTGAATGTCTGCAAGACGGAATGCGTGAAATATTTTCAGACCACATTAAGCCATGGAAATTTTGTGGCTGTTCTCAGACTTCTTCAATGTTTACATTAAATCTATTTAAATAATGCATTTTACGTCCATTTTTCTTATTTCTTGACAATAGTGAGCGATGGGAGATGGAAGGGCTAGAAGCCTTCCTTCAGATGGAGATGGTTGTGGCAATTACAGACATCAAAGTAATATTTACACTCACATTTGGGAGGAAAAGAGAGAGCGGCGCTTTTTTTTCCCCCTGAAGGAAATTATTTCGGGATGTGTCACAGCACACTCAAGATATATTAAAAAGAGCAGCAGACGATGTTTCTGCAACCTGTTCCAAACCATTTATAAACTCAAGCTAGAAAAAAATTCCCCACATCCATACAAATCTCTCTACCACGGCATATTTTATAATGAAAGTATCGTATGAATATAAATTAGTTTTCAGGTAGATAAATCAAATCAAAAATGTCTGAAAACTATATATTTGGGTCTATGGTCTTACTTGAATAACTGTGGAGCCGATATTCTCCTTCTCCATACAAATGATAGTTATCAGCGTGTGATGGTGGTGAAGGTCAGACAGGGGTGCTGCCGGTAGGCAGAGCTGTGAGTCCATGCCTGCCGACCCACATCCTGGCTGGGCAACCTCCCCCACACAAGCCCGTTCCCATCACAGCTGCACGTGTATTTTAGAGAAGATATTTGAAAAATAATAAGCAGGTCCAGCCAGTGTGGCACAGTGGTTGAGCTTCAACTTATGAGCCAGGAGGTCACAGTTTGATTCCTGGTCAGGACACGTGCCCAGGTTGTGGGCTGAACCCCCAGTGTGGGACGTGTGGGAGGCAGATCAATGATTCTCTCCATCATTGATGTTTCTCTCTCACTCTCTCTCCATTCCTCTCTGAGATCAATAAAAGAATTTTAAAAACAGTTGAATGAAGGCCTAATGTGTACTGAAATATGGTAGCAATCATACTTAGGTAAAAACTGCTGTTTGAATTTTAACCCTACTATTCTGAATTCAAATTCTGAGCAAGGTTACAAGCAGAGCTTCCTTTTTTTTTATTAAAGAGCCAGTCCTATGTGCACTTGGTGGTTGTCTCGATGCTGGCCTTGACACCTGGCATGGTATTGAGATTGTGGGCATATCTGGTCTCTGGCCTACAAGGTCAGACAGCAACATTTTGTCTAGGAAAAACAGCAGAAAATTCCAAAAAACAGTTTGTTACAAAATAGGGCTTTTCCTTCTCAGAACCTTTAAAAAGAACTACCTCCCCCTGAAGCAGGGCAGTTGTATTGAGTCTGCCTGCGTGTGGTACTCTTGTGGCTGTCCTGGCCAGATATTTCAATAAATCTTTGCCTGCTGTTTTTAATAAATCATCAGCCTCCGGTGATCTTATTTTGAACCCAGGGTTCGACCCCACAACAGTACCAGTCACCATGAAAGGACTGTTGACCTTTAATCCTCACGACAGTGCCATGGAGTAGGTTTAAAACGATAAGATTTAAATAAGAAACAGATCGGTATACACTCCTAACTAAACTGAGTATGTCCTCAGAGCAAGAAGTGCTGTAGAGGCTCCAGGGAGGGACAGTCTAGGGCCCAGCAGAGCAGAATCCTTAGGACATGAGAGGGGCCTTCCCCAGCCAAGGGGACCTGGGCGGTATGAGCTTTTTATAGTTCTGGATGCTACCAGACACTTTCAGCATTTTTCCCAGGACACCTTCAGAGGATTGTATACACTGAATTGTTTTTAATAATCATAGGAAGATGTGGTTTTATTGGAGAGAGAGAGAGAGAGAGAGAGAGAGAGAGAGAGAGAGAGAGAGAGAGAGAGAACCATCAAGGTGAGAAACATCTATCCAGTTGCCTCCTGTATGCCTCCTGACCCAGGATAAAACCCCCAACCTAGGTATGTGTCCTGACTAGGAATTGAACCTGCAACCTTTTGTTTTGTTTTTTTGTTTTTTGTTTTTGTTTTTTGTTTTTAATATATTTTTATTGATTTTTTACAGAGAGGAAGGGAGAGAGCTATCGATAGAAACATCGATGAGAGAGAAACATCGACCAGCTGCCTCTTGCACACCCCCTACCGGGGATGTGCCCGCAACCAAGGTACATGTCCTTGACCGGAATCGAACCCGGGACCTTTCAGTCCGCAGACCAATGCTCTACCACTGAGCCAAACCAGTTTCGGCGAACCTGCAACCTTTTGGTAATGGGACAACACTCCAACGAAGTGAGCCACTCAACCAGGGCCAAATATTTATGGAATTAAATAGAATTTTTAAAAGGAGATTGTTGAAACGAGGAAGGCTTCTTCTTACAAAGCATGAATCCAGTTTTCACTTAGAAAAAGGAGCCTTAACCCGACTCTCCCATCATGTGAATTTCTTCTGCCTCAAAGGAGTACAGCAAGCATGTCAAACTCATGGCCCGGCGGCTGCATGCCTTGTTTATTTGGCCCATGTTAGCCTTTGAGTTTGACATGCTTGGAGGTCAGGCTTGGGAGACACTCTGCAATCTTGCATCTGTCACACATAAAAAAAAAGAGAGAACCTATTTCAGGGGTGTCTACATGGGATGGGGAGCGGATTCTGGCTGTGTGTGGACTGTAGGCTGTATTGGGATAGTACGAGCCTGGGTTGGACCTAGGCATTCTCTTGAGATGCCCCTCTTACCTACGCTTCTCTGGACATGTGTGCCTTCATTCACTCACTCATTCACTCTCATCCACCATGTTTTCATGTTCTAGGCACTGTATTAGGCATTTGGTTTCCCTTTTAGGAGCAGGGGTCCTGGGCAGGAAGTTTGAGATATTATGCCCTACTTTGTTCTGGTTATGTGAGCGTGGATCCCATTGCCCAAATGCCAGATGGTCAGGGAGGGCTTTGGTGGTCACACTCCCTGTCCCCGTGGAGGCGGCTTCTTGCTGAGTCTGTTCTACCCCAGCCTGCCTCTTCATGGCATCGCAGTGGCTCCCTCGCACCTTTCTGAGCCGCAGCTCTGAGCGTCCCCATGCACCACCTGGTGATGTGCTCACTGCCCACAGCCGACACAGCCCTCCAAGATTACCCCTTCCTCTCTCCTCCCCGGCACCACCCTTTCCCAGCCTGAGCTCCCACAGCTCCCGCTGCAAACCTCAATCCCTCCTGGAGGGTGGTGGAGAGGAAGAGGGTGGACCCTTCCCTCAGACAGACCGGATGTGAAGGGATGCCATGGGGAACTCCTCAGGGGGCACCTGGGCCTCCACCTACCCTGCAAAGCGAAAGGGGTCTGTATATAAAGAGCCATCTTATAGATTTCCTATTGGTTTCAGAGAGGAAAGGAGAGGGAGAGATAGAAACATCAATGATGAGAGAGAATCAGTGATCAGCTGCCTCCTGCCCGTCCCCTACTGGGGATTGAGCCCACAATCCAGGCATGTGCCCTCAACCAGAATTGAACCTGAGACCCTTCACTCCACAGGCCAATGCTGTACCCACGGAGCCAACGCAGCTAGGGCAAAACGAAAGGTTTAATTCCTGGTCCCGTTGGGTGCCAGCATCCCATGACGCCCTAAGATCCATATGCCGATACTGCCCACTGTAATCGCCAGGAGGGTTGGGTGAAGTGACATTCAACAACAGAGAAGAAGGGAATGGACTTAGATTAAAACTGAGGTTAGCAACTCTCAGAATGCCAGCTGTCTTCCACACAATCGAGACTTTTATTCTAAAGTGGTCTTCTCACTCAGGGCAGGATGGATAAATATTCTCGCAGTGAGCAGTGAGCCCGAACCACCCTCCCCGCCCCCCTTCACCTGGGAGGCCCCGAGAGGGGAGAGGGAGGGAGCGGCGGGTGAAGTCACCCTGACCGTTTCCTGGGGGCCTTGCTGGGCCGTGGGGCCTGGGGAGACCCAGAGGGCCACGTGCAGCACAGTCAGGTGGCGAGGAGGAGCAACTAGTCCCGGCGCCGGGAGCACAGCCCTGGAGACAGGACAATCCCGTCTCTAGGGAGCCGGACAACACACCTTCCAGACTCCACTCCTGGATCAGCAAAACCCTGTGCCGTTTATCCTCAGGGCCAGTCCCCCTGGGCAGCAAGGGGGGGGGGGGGCGCAAGGGGCCCTATTTAGTGCCCTTCAAAAACAGGACATGATTAAGCATATTCATTTCCTAAGAAATAGTAAAAACTTAAAATATTTCAGAAGTTAAATATCTTAAATTTGTAAGGAGCCCTGACTATTGAAAGCCACCAACCTCTGAGGTCTGCTTTGTTTCTCTTACTTCCCATGACCTCCCCGCCAACAGGCGGACACCAGGCCACAGAGGAAGACCTGCCTCCCTCAGGGTCCTGTAGGGGGCGGGAGGGGGGAGGAGGGGAGGAGGAGAGCAGGTGGGGGGAGAACTTTAACTCGGTTCAGCGAGGCCTGGCACATGGCCCCTTAGGGATGCTGCTGAGGACAGAAGCCAGGGGCGTCCCTGCCATTCCCGGGCTCAGGCAGCTCCTAACATGTGGGCCCCGCTTGAGCCCAGGCAAAGCACATCCCTTCTTCATGAGGTTTGCTAGCAGCGTCTTCCACTCATCACCCCGCCTGCCAGGCTGCGAAGTGTGTGGACACAGGAGTCTTTTCAGAGAGCTTGTCGGTGCCCTCCAGCCAGACAGGACTGGTGTCCAGGAGGCCTGCCCAGGCCGTCCTCCCCAGACCGTCCTCCTCAAGCTGTCCTGCCCGAGCATCTTCCCCTGGCCGTCCTCTCCAGTCCCAGGGCGGCACTTCAGCCCCTCCTCCCTTCCCTTTGCGGGCTCAGCAGAATCACAGCACCTTTCCTGCCTTCGCTGCCTCTGCTAATTCACTGAACTTGCTAATTCATGACGCACGGAGAGCCCTGGGGTGCGGGTCCCGGAGGACTCCCCTGTGCGTGAGCGTTGTGGCTGTGGGACCCGGGGAGCGGGGGTAGGGGGCAGAGTGAGTCAGAGAAGCCGCTTCCCTCCCGTCGCCCTGACAATGGGAATCTCCCAGACGCGGAGCCTGTGATGGAAGTTGCTGCTTGCTCGGGGCTTGTCAACAAGAAGGATTTAGAGTGGGACAAATCCCCTTCTGCCTGGCGCTCACTGCCCGCTCTGGGGAAGGCGCTTCGTTCTCTGCACCTCAGCTGCCTCTGCATTGAGGGGAGCCCTGCCCGGCCTTCTGTGGACCCGGGACCCTCAGAGCCACTCCGTTTAGGGGGCGAAAGACCTACTTCACTTCTGCCTCCAAGAGCCTAAAACTGAGAACAGTGAATGGGGCCACATTACCCCCAAGGTGCTTTGGAACACAACAGTCTTTGATTCCAAACACCAGGGGAGATGAGATAAGAAACAAGACCGGATCCGGATTTAAAGCCCAAGGTCCCTCGGAGCCTGAGGAGACCGGCATGGTGTCCCGGACCCGGTGCAGGTTCACAGGCCTCAGCCAGGGCACCTGAGGCTCACTGCACAGCAGGAAGGAAACAGCCTCCCGTTTCCGTGAGTGAGCTGTAGTCTGGGGAGCCTCTGGGGCCTCCATCAAAGGCCCAATGTCACTAACGGGCCGTGTGCGGGAAGTGTCAGAGAGCTCCCGGGCCCGGGGTGAATGGCCGGCGCCTGGCTGGCTGGTTTACTGTTAATTTCTGCAGAATCAGGCAACTTGGCAGGGTGCCAAGAGCTAATAACCACAAGGGTTTGGAGCCGGCAGCTGCAGGGCTCCTGCGAAGCCTGACTGGCCCCTGCCTGCAGGCGGGAGCCCGGAGAGGGGCGGGGCCAGGATTCTAGGGCTGGTGTCCAATCACCCACTCTCTGGTGGACCGGGGCAGGCCAGGGGGGCCCTCTGAGCTCCCTCTTTCCTTGTCTGGGAACTTGGAACAGCGGCAGCTACCTCGCAGGGCCATTTTGAGTTTCACATGGTGAGCAGAGGCAACAGTGAGATCTGAAAGTGGGGCTCAGACTGAGGTCTCCTGGTTACCAGCATCTCCAGCCTCGCTGCTCTGTGCCCAGGGTGCCCGCTGCCAGCCAGGCCTCATAAATATTTACACCCGCGTGTGTTGCGATGCTCAGCTAATTGCTCCAGTGACGCACTCGGGGAGCCTCGGAGGAAAGGCGCTATGCCAGGGCCGATGCCAGGGCCGGGTCGTTAGAGGCACAAACGAGGCGCTCACAGAGGCCACGTCCTCGGAGCTGCGCCTGCCCCAGGGCGGTTCAGATCCTCGCTGACGTCAGGGAAAGGTGCCTCCACAGCTCACGGTCAAGGGCCGAGGCCCGTGTGACCACCAGGCAAAGGGCCCCTTGGAAAACAGCAAAGACCTGTACATATACCTCCCCACAGAGGAAAGGTGAATGGCCCAGGACCATTTAAAACTTCTTATAATAACAGTAACAATTCAAGCTCCCTAGTCATCGAGGAAACCAGACAGGACCAATGTGCCAATAGGCAACGCTGTCTTATTCTATTTTTTTAAATATATTTCTTTATTGATTTCAGAGAGGAAGGGAGATGTAGAGAGAGATAGAAACATCAATGATGAGAGAGAATCATTGATCGGCTGCCTCCTGCATGCTCCCTAATGGGGATCATGTCGGCAACCCAGGCATGTGACCTGAGCTGTGTCTTTGGGTCTAGGCCAGTGGTCAGCAAACTCATTATTCAACAGAGCCAAATATCAACAGCACAACATTTAAAATTTCTTTTGAGAGCCAATTTTTTTTAAACTTAAACTTCTTCTAGCGCCACTTCTTCAAAATAGACTCACCCAGGCCGTGGTATTTTATGGAAGAGCCACACTCAAGGGGCCAAAGGGGCCGCATGTGGCTCTCGAGCCACGGTTTGCCGACCACTGGTCTAGGACAATGCAAATGTCGAGAAATGGTTCCGTAGGTTGGCCTGTGAAATGGCCCTGGGTGACTGCCCTCCCCCCACTTCAGGAATGCCGCTGACTGACACTGACCTGGCTTCTCTGTTCTGCCCTAGGTCATGGCCTCGAGTCAGCAGAGCCGCAGGTGAGTCAGGGGCCTGTCAGACTCTTCCTTTCCTCCTGGTCTTTCTGTTCTTCAGGAACACCGTTGGCCTGTTCAAACAGCAGGAGCATTTGTGATTTTTCCCTATTCTTGCTCCCAGGGGCCAGCCTGGCCTGTGGTGTCCAGGATGTTGGGAGCAGGCTGAGCAGGTGGGGAACTGTCTCTCCACCTGGCCGTTGTGTGGCCTGAGGTGGGGCACAGATCGCTCCAGCCTGAGCTCCTTCGTCTGTAGTGTGGGTAGGAATCTGCCTAAGATGGTCTTATGGCTACTCATGAGTGTTCCCTCAACTGGGCTTGCTGTGATGGGTTCTCCCCAAAATACGCACCAGGCGAATGGGTCAGAAACCATACCCAGCTTCTCTGCGTGTCTTCTCGGAGCCCAGCCCTTGGTATTCGGTGCTTATAGGACCCCCTTCCAGTGTGACTGAGAGGATGGGCTGTTCCTGTTGGAGCACCCTAATTTCAAGGAAGCCGGCCCAAGTGGCTCAGTTAGTTGAGCACCATCCTGTGCACCCAAAGATTTCCGGTTCAGTTCCCAGTCAGGGCATGCACCTGGGTAGCAGTAAGGAGAACGGGAAGAAGTAACCTAAAAATCACAAGTATAAATCTACATTTAAAAAATAATAATAAAATAAAATAAAAATAAAAAATAAAAACAAGCACCCAGCTCTAAGCCCTCCAGAGAACACATGATCAAGTTTCCCAGTCAGGTCCTAACAGAGGACCTTGTGTTCCCTCAAGGTCAATGCTTCCAAATTATACTAGAGTTTTGGTCACAAATGTACCCCACCCCACCATCCACTCAGCGTCCTGAGGAGACTGTAGAGAGTGTTAAAGGGGGCAGAGCCTGGGTGTGAAGTTGCTCATTTGATGCCATGTCTGGTGATTTATAAACCCCAGGACCTGAATCCTTCCCTTCTACCTTGCTGTCCACCTGCAGTAAGGGAGACAGAGACAGGCAGGTAGGTATCCCAGTCCATCTACAATGTTCTAGAGACTCGAGCAGGGAGAAGAAAACAAATCTAAACCCCCAGAATGACCAGGGAGATACAGCGGCACAGGCCCGCCAACACGCACCAGAGTGCATGCCCTGCCCACAATTCTCAGCGGCAAAGCACCCCACCTCCACACGCTGGCAAACCACTGCAGGTGTCTGTTCTGCTCTAACAGAATCCATACAACTGGGATGCACTTGGCGATGGACATGAGAGATGGCTTGTCACAGGGGCACGTATTACATTCCCAGGTGCTTTTACATTGTCTGTGATTTTCTTTGCCGGGGGATTTGTTAAAAATAATGGTGGGGCATCCGTATGAGAGAATGCTGTGTGGCCATTAGAAATGATGCTGCTGAAGAGGGTTCCCTGACATGTTTGTTCTATGAGAGAGCAGGCAGGAAAAGAGTGTGCACGCAGCGTGACCATATATGCATAGACTGTAATGTGTGTGTGCGAGTGTTTAGGATGATTGCCTTGGCATGAGGAATTATGGTGATTTTCATTCTTTTTTACTTATTTGTATCTTAATTTTTTATAGTAGTATATATTTTAAGATATATTTTATTGACTTCAGAGAGGAAGGGAGGAGAGATAGAAATATCAATGATGAGAGAGAATCATTGATCAGCTACCTCCTACCCCCCCCCCCACAATCCCCATTCCCCCAACCCCTCACACACACACACACACACACACACACACACACACACTGGGGACTGAGCCCACAACCCAGGCATGTACCCTGACTGGGAATGGAACCCCGACCTCCTAGTTCATAGGTCAATGTTCAACCACTCGGCCAGGCTGGCTGGACAGTAGTATATATTTTTATGTACTAAAAACTATCCAAAATTGAAGAGGATTCCAGGGCTGGAGAAGACAGGCATGTATTCAAACATGACACTCTGTCAATACCAATACCTCTGTGAGGCTGATATACAGAGAGCAGTGCTATGTGTTTCCATAAAATAAACTGAGCTTTTCTCCCGTCCCTGAATAGAGAATGAAATGGGAGAAGATAGCCCTACTTAGAAAGTGGGTCATTCTGTCTTAAGTCACCATCCACCGTAAACACCCTGATCGTGCTGAGTCCATTAATGAGAGGAGAAATTTCCTTTTGTCCAGAAACACTTGTTTTGTTGTGCTTTTAGTTTCCTAATGAAAGCAGTCTGGAAGGTTGTTTTTGTTGTTGTTGTTTCTCCACTTTTAAAAAAACATTGAATGATTTTAGAACTAGATGAAGGGAAGGCAGGTGTGGGATATGTGAGTAGCTGGTGCCGCCTGCTGGCCCTTTCTGGATCTTGCAACACTTGCATCCATTTAGCGGAGGCCTGGTGGAAAAGAAGAAATTCAAAAGTTGACAGTTGAATTACTGGGAAAAGGTGTTTACAGATTTCTGGTAAGCCCAGGCAAAGATTTCACATCACCCAAGATTGCTAAACCCCAGGATTAAGGATTTTCTTCCAAATTCCTTGTGTATCAGAATCACAACACTGAGAAGTGCATGTTCTCAAGCCCTCCCCATGGTTTATGCTTTAGCGGGTTTATACTGAGACCAGGAATCTTTCATTTTAACAAGATAATTCCAATGCAGGTAGATCTAGGGCGGTTTTTTAAGAATCACTGTGAGAAGCAAAAAGAATCAAGATCGTCCCCACCAAGAAGCTGCCATTAATTCTCTGGACAGCAACTGTCTTGGAAAATCTCATTTGAATTTCAGGGAGTCTCCCAAGACAGAGAACGACAAGCAGCTGCCTGGCCTCTCACCACTCCTGCATTCATCTACCCACTCATTTAAGCAATCGGTGGTTCTTCATCTAACTGATATGAGAACCAGTTTTGGGGACAAGCACTCTTTAAAAAAATAAAGGTGAAATGTCCTAAGGACTCAGCAAGTCGGAGAGTCGAAGGCCATGCTTTACAGGTGAGGAGGTTAAGGACTAGAGAAGGGAACTGGATTTCCAAGGGCCACCCAGTGAGAACATTAATACTGTTCTCCCAACTCCCAAACAAAGGTAGCTGTTTCTGTGAGTTTAGACTGTTTGTGCTTAACATTTACATTCATAATCTCCAGATAAGGAGACTGTGTTTCAGTAAATAAAGCGGAAATGACCAAAAGTGCTAAATGACGGAGCTGGTAGATGGAAAGATAGATAGATAAATAGATAATAGATGGATAGAGATAGATAAATGAAAGATATAAATATATACAGTACATGCATGTATATTATTTAGATATACAGAACAGTCATGTTATACATATACTAGAGGCCCAGTGCACAATTAAATCATGCACGTGTAGGGTCCCCTAGCCTAACCTGCCATCAGGGCCATGTCCGCGGCCCTGAGATGCCTCATACACTTCGTGGATGCTGCGAGACTCTGATTCCCAATCTATAAGTCAGTACTAGTTGGCCAAGGCTCATGCACTTGCCCAGTTTCCCATGTCCACAAAGGGCCACGGCCAGGATGGGAACCCAGAGTTCCTCACTCAGCTTCTCTGCTCGTGCTGTGAGCAGAGCCCCTGCTACATTATTGGTGAAGGGCAAAGCTGGTACACCGTGAAATGCTGCACAACGCTTTTAAAAGGAAACCATGAGGCGTCACCATGATGGTGTTTGTTGTTTCTTATGTGAGTCATGTCTAGAGGTAAGCAATCCTGGGCTGTTGGGAAGTCCCGCTCCTCCAGGTCCTCAGACCTCCCGCTCCTCCTGTCCCCCTCTCTCCTCCCTTGAAGTGTCCTCAAATGGGATTTTGTCCCACCATCTAAAGTGTGACCCGGACAGCAGGAGCAACAGAGCGGAGGAAAAGAGGGAATAAACAGCAAGCAACACTTTCCCTTTCCTGGAAGTTGTGAGCTGACTTTCCACCTCTTCCATCAACCAAAACCTGGATCGATGGCCAGGTTTGGGACCAGAACGGTTTGGATGTGTCCTAAGTACTTACTCTAGGTGGCCACGTGCCCAGCTGACCTCGGGGGTTCTAGTGCCGAGAAGAAAGGGGAAGAGGGGGTGGCAGAGGCTCTCTGGGATGGAGTCCTCAGTGATGGATTGAATCCCTGGCCTCTTGCTTCCCACCATCTATTTGAATAGGTCCTGCTGGCAGTGTCTGGAGTTGGAAGCAACCTGGACCTTCCCTCCTCTCTTCTCCCCATCCCCTCCCTCTGAAATCTTGTGAAGAAATAAAAATGAAAGTTGGTTTTCCCAAGTATAACCTTGGCAACAGCACTTGGGCCCCGGCCAGCTCCCCTGTCCCTTTAAGGGTAGTGAATGGGACATAGACAGGCACCAGTCTCGCGCTTCTAGGTGCTCAAGTTCACGGGGGCATTTACAAATGCAAACCATCTGAGAGGATCCATCTTCATGGCCACCTTCCACGGGAGGGAACTGGAGCTTCCAAGTTGGGAGTTCTCCAGTGTGCGTGTCAGCGTGAGAGCGTGGATGCATGCACTCGGTTCCTGCTGGGGCCCCACTTTTCCTTATTTCCTTTTTTTTAAGGCCCCGGGATGAAAATGGTCAGGTCAGGGGACCTCCTAATTAGATGGGCTTTGGCCAGACGCCTGTGTCATCCCACCGTGGATGTGAGAAGAGGTGTCCACGTCCAGGGCTAATTGCTCTCTGCCCGTCAGTCAGGAAAGCCCTGCGCTTCTACCGGACATACATTCATCTTCGTGTCCCTCTTAACAATCACGTCCATCCGGGGCTGCCTTCTGCGGAGACGCTTCCCGGGGGCCGCGCAGGAGAGCTGCCTGGTGTCGGCCAGTGATGCATGGGCCTCCGCAGACAGAACCTGAGCATAACTCTTCCCGGACGGTGGCGTGGGAAGCAGCTCCATTCATCTTGTTAGAAAACGCTGCTCTCTGAGGAGCCAACCTGTCCTTCAGCTCCGGGAAGGCTCAGAGACTGGGGAGCCTTTAGGGGTGTCCGTTCAATGGGGAACGGGGGCCCAGCAAGAGGAAGGCTCAATCTCCAGCTCACTCGGCGAGGGAGGATGTCAGGTGGTAGCTGAAGTGTTGCCTCTGCTTCCAGGTTCTGGGTCTATCCACTGCACCCCTCATGACCTCTACATTCGACTGTCCATTTATCGTGCGCTTAACGATGCATGGGAGCAATTCGGAGCCTGGAATCTCACCACTGCCTGCGGGAGGAGGCACCCCTCAGTGATGACATATTTATTGGCTTGCTTTGTTCCTTTGGAGAAACTGAAAAGACCAGATTAACCAGGGCAGGCTACCATCCATCATGCATGAACTGCAAATGTTAGTCGTTTGAATAAAATAGAGGCTTCTGCTCGCCCGCATCACAATCCGATGCGGGTCAAAGGAGGTCTTTTTCCAAACACTGTCCATCTATTGTTTCTCAGGGCTTCGGGGCCCTCTGCCTCCGGCCAGCCCCGAGGCAGGAACCAGAGTGTGGAGTGGCCAGTGGGTCTCCACTCATGAGACCCTACAAATTGCCACTGGAAGGGCCTGAGTAACCTGTGGGTTTCTCTTCCAGGGACCTACAGGGGGTGTAATCCTGCTGGGACAGAAGGTATTATAAGTGCCTCGGGAGTGGTGACAGCTGCTAATCCCACCACCAGGGGGCGCTGGCACTGGTGGCAGGCAGGATTCGGCCCCTCCTATCTCAGATCTCCTGGAGATTATTTTAGACTAACACCACACACACACACACACACACACACACACACACACGCACGCACGCACGCACACGCACACACAGGTTCTAGGCAACTTCCAGAAAGCTGTGTTTCCACCCAGCCAAACTTTCCTTCGTTTACGCATCCTACCCACAGAAGACTGGGGACTGGGGACACATGCACAGCTCTGAATTTTGAATTTTGGCTTGGCAAGAGAATTCAGGGTAAAAGAACATTTTAAAAAACGATGAAGCCAGACCCAGATGTAGAAATACATGCCAGACCACACTCTCTGGACACAGCCAGACATGTGCCCTGAGGTTCTTAGCAGCCAGGGAGGAGGAGAAATATAATCTCTCCTGGGATTGGTGTTTTCCATTAAATCAAAGCAAACCAATTGCTAAGAAGCACACCGCTTCTGGTGCAGAGACCCGCTGGGAGCTTCTCACGTATGTGCTAATATAAGGGATGTGATAAGAACATTTCCTGCCTATAATGTTCCTCATGCAGACTAACAGCGTGACACTGGGGTGCAATTTAGGGAAATTAAGTCTAGGAGGAAGGAAAAAAAAAACCTGCAGGCCACGTGACCATCCTTTCTTGGTGGTTTTGGTAAAATGTCAGCCATAGATCACTGAGCGCCCTGCATGACCTTCAGGTAACCTTCACAACATAAACCCAGGTGGGAGAGTGGAGTGCTGACAAGATTCCACTAACAATATTCATTCAACAAACACCTATCAAGAATTGACCTGGTCGCCTGGCTCAGTGGTTGAGCAGCGACCCATGAACCAGGAGGTCACGGTTCAACTCCCGGTCAAGGCACATGCCCAGGTTGCAGGCTCAGTCCTCAGTAGGAGGTATGCAAGAGGCAGCCGATCAATGATTCTCTCTCATCATTAATGTTTCTATCCCTCTCTCCCTCTCTCTTCCTCTCTCCGAAATCAATTTTTTAAAAAAAAGTCACCTGGTCATATTGAGCCTTCTGCCTGGAACTGAGAGGTGAATGAATAGATATGACCCGCTCTCAAAATACTGGGGGCAGTCTGTTTAAGGAGACAGAGGAATGGACAGAAAAGTGCAAAGGTACCGTGTGCCCTCGGGGGGAGATGGAAGAGGAAACCAGCCTCTTTGTAAACTGAGTCACGGTTTGGGGGCACTGGATGGGGAAGGGGTGTCTGCCTCTTTCCCTGAGGATGCTTCTTGGTTTGGATTTGATTCCCTCCCTTCCTTCTCATCGCCCCCCCATTTTGCAAAAGCAGCAGAGAAAGTGAGGACAGAAATATGCACTTCGTTGGGAGCAATTACCGTCCAGAAAACTTAATTGGAATAAGCACGGGATTTCTGGAAAACCCAGGCACGTTAACCTTGGGTCTGTTTTCATTGGCAGGCCAGCGCCAGCCCATCCCGGAGCCTCCGCTGGACTGCGTAAGTCAGCCCCTCCCTCTCCTCCTTCTCCATCTTTGATATTTACCAAATAGCTGTCTTTTTCCGAGGCACGCGGTGGATTAAAAACAAAGAGAAAAGAATGTTAAATGTATAATTTATTGGCAGGGAAAATTGTATTTCCATTGTTGGGTAGAAAACTGTATGCCAGTTTCTCAGCTATAAAAGGGAGAGGAAAATGAATTTTCACGGCCACTGCGAAGACTGGATGAGTTGAAAATACCAACACGCACAGTGCTGGCAAGTGTGTGATGCGGAAGGCACTTCCTCCCACTCGAGGCGAAATGTTCAAGTGGAACGAACATTCTGGAAAGCAATTTCATAATATTAACCAGGCAACAGAAAAGCGTCCATTTCCTTTGGCCCAATAATTCTATGGTTGGGAATGTAAACTGAGAAACTAAGCCAAAATTTGGATTAATAGTTAAACACACTCATTTATATTTTATAATGATATATCTTAAATGGCAGCACATTGGAATCATGCTAAGTATTCAGTTAGATAAGCATAGCTAAATATATTATATTCCCATTTTAAAGCCTTGCAAAGAATTCTAATGACTAGAGAAATTTATAACATAACTCAGATAGTTATATAAGTAATTTTGTTGTTAAATTGTATATGTGTACCAGTATTATTTAAATAGTTCTATCCACCATATCTGTATATGATAGATGGAATATATCAGATAGATGGATGGATATATGGATGGATGGATGGATGGATACAAAGATAGGTAGGTAGATAGATAGATAGACAGACAGACAGACAGAATATACCTATAAAATCATTGATTCTTTCTTGTTTAAAATAAAACTTTTTAATCTACTTAAAGTTATGGAACTTCACTCCAGAACACAGACACAATCAGTCAATCAGTCACAAACGATTTACCTCTGTTATGGGACAGTAGATAATAAATAGGCTAATAGGTAAAATAGATGTAACTTCTTATAATTAAAACAAAACTCTGTCTCCCTTCCCAGAAAGATATAAACCAGACTATTTCTATCCAGTTCTGTGGGCAAGACTCTCGGGGTCTAGGGCAGGTTCTCCCCAAACAGGGGCAGGGGTGGTGGCTACTACCCCACCCCACCCCACCCCATGTCCCCACATGCCCTGCCCCCATGATCCAGGAAGGCAACTGGTCAGAGATGGACTCTGCTCTCACCTCCCCAGTTCACCCAGCAGGTCCAGGACTCCCCCAAAGCGGCTGCTCTCCGTGGCTGTCTAGGTGCTGGCCACACAGTGTGGAGGATAAATGGCGCCCCTGCACAAAGACTCATTGTCAAGCCCCCAAAGGAACAGCGTGCCTGTGCTCCTGCCCAGACCTCACTTCCACATGAGGTTCCTGAGAACAGCCCCTCAGCTTTTCCCTTTCCCGGGTCACCTGGGAAACCTCGGCAAGCCTGCTTCCCCCTGGCGCTCTGCTGTGCCTACACTCAGCACGTCCACGGGAGGAAAGGGACCTAGCGTGTCATGGGCAGGTGCAAAGTAGAACCTTTACATGTGCTGGGCTCAGCTGCATACAACCAAATAGGGCAGCTTCGCCTCCTCCGATCTACAGATGGAGTGTCTGAGCCAGGGAGGAACCTGATCTCCTGGTTCCTCAATATAAGATCAAGGCCCCTGCAAATAGATCCCCTTTCTGTGTTTAAGGGCTTAGGTAACCCAAGATGACCTCTCTATTTCAAAAACAGCCAATTAGTCTTTTTTTTTTTTTTTTTTTTTTTTTGAGGATCATCACTTGAGGATATTTTCCCATTGATTTTTTTTTTTTTAGGAAGAGTAGGAGAGAGAGGAGTAGACAGAGAGAAACATCAATGTGAGAGAAACACATCGATTGGTTGCCTCCTGAATGCACCCTGATCAGGGCCCAGACTTGAGAGGAGCCTGCAACCCAACCGAGGTACGTGCCCCTGACCAGAATGGAACCTGGGACCCTTCGCTCCACAGCCTGACACTCTGGCCTCTGAGCCAAGCCCGCTAGAGCCCAGGTGTCATCTTAATCACACCTGCAGGGCCGCCTCACGGCAACACCCGGATATTTGTTTGACTGAATAACAGGAATGGGAATACTGGGGGGCATCACCAGAATGCTGCCAATCTAGAATGCCCCTGCCCCAGAGCCCAGACGTTTAGCTCCCACCTCAGAGAACCTATCTCACTCCCCTCACCAGCCCTGCAGCCTGACACCTTTATCACCACTGCACCTTCCCCGACTCATTCGAATGTCCCCCCCTGCTCAGGAAAGGAGCTTCCCCGCAGACCCGGATGGAGCAGAGGGCCAGGGGGATGACGACTATGAAGACCCCAATGTTCACGTGGCAGAGGCTTGGCAGTGGATGAAAATCCAGCCCGCCCGACCCATCAAGGAGTCTGAATATGCAGGTAACGGTCGGGTCTGAAACCTGAAAATGCACGCGCTGTGATGTCGCACAGAGGTTAAAGCTGTGGGCTGGCTCTGCATTGAGTAACTGCGGGTTCAACTCCTGCCTCCGTGGCCTTCTAGAGGTGAAAACTTAAGCAAGTCTCTCAAACTCTTTCCTGTTTGAATGGGGGTCATCATCATAGAATTTATTCCAGAGAGTTCTGCAGAGGATGCCACATAGGATGTATATGGAGTTCCCCTGAGAGGACTTGGCAGAACCAGAATTCTGTTTGTTGTTGTTGTTGTTGTTTTAGTATATTTTTATTGATTTCAGATAGGGAGAGAGAAATAGAAACATCAATGATAAGAGAGAATCACCAATGGGCTGCCTCCTGCACACTCCCAACTGAGGATCAAGCCTGCAACCCAGGCATGTTTCTTGACTGGGAATCAAACCAGTGACCTCTGGGTTCATAGGTCAATGCTCACCCACTGAGCCAAGCCGGAAGGGCTGTAACTACTGGATTTTATCATTACTAGGGGCCTGGTGCACGAAGATTTGTGCACAGGGGTGGGTTCCTCAGCCCGACCTGCACCCTCTCCAATCTGGGAGCCCTCAGGGGAAGCTTCTCCAATCCGGGAGTTTCTGTCTGTCTTTGCAATCATATGAGCGAATTGTCTGAGAACCCAACCCAGCTTGGTTTGTTGTTCAAAGAATAATAGAGGCTTTTTTTTTCCTTTGCTTCATTGGTGGTGATTTCCTGGAAGTTTTAGGATATCTTCCCTTTAATTTTTCCTAGATACTCTGATTTTACTTATGTTTCTCACCTTTGCTTTCCCTCCATCCCCCACCACAATAGTAACTTGCTCCAGTCTCACTTTGCTCTAGTATCTAGGAGATCTGTCTGCCACCAGAACTACTATTCCCAGCATTCCTGGTACTCCCCTTGCTCTGGGCTTCCGCTTCTGGTCCTGGGGCTGCCACAAGAACTACTATTCCCAGAATTCCTGATGCTACCAGTGCTCCCTTCCTGCTCTGTCTCTGTCCCATGGTCTCCCTCTCTGCCAAGTCCTCCAAGCTACCAGCTCTCCCTCTCTGTTCTCCGTCTGGTGGCTTGGGGAGCCAAGTTCCCCAAGCTGCTCCACTCTCCACTCTGCTCTCTGCCTGGCGCCTAAGTATGCAAATTAACCCACCATCTTTGTTGGGTTAATTTGCATACTCACTCCTGGTTGGCTGGTGAGTATAGCGGAGGTACAGTCATTTACATTTTTCTCTTTTATTAAATAGGATAGCACTCTTCCTGAGCCCTGGAGCCACTGGGGAGCATGGCAGGAGATGGGCATCCAGAGATGCCTGCATGGAAGGGTGGGCAGAGAATGACAGGAAGAATTTTCACTGGGCAGATCCATTTGACAGGCAGCACCAGAGCATGGCGGTAAAGCCCACTTCCTGAGAGTGGGGAAGGCCTAACTTCACACCCACATTATCTCTAACTGGGGCACACTGGGCAGCTCCAGAGAGTTCTCTGAACCTTCAGTGTGGCACACTTCTGGGAGTGAGGATGGGAAGGGATGTCTGAGGGCCAGACCCACTGAAAGGATTCTACAGGAAGTTCTTTTGAAGAGAATTGCCTTATAAACAAGGATACTATTCCTTGGTTCACTCTCTCAACAAGCATTTTACTGAGTATCTATTGCATGGCAGTTAGCATGTTGGGACTGACTAAGGGGCACAGAGATAAACAAAGCATAATCCATGTCCTCAGAGGTCACAATCTAGTGGCAGAACCAGAAGATCAACAGATAAATCTGATAGAATATGTTAAGTGTATAAATTAGAAGGAGAGCATGGCAACTAGAAAGATCTTCAAAGGGTGTAATACATCCCAAGCCTGAAAGGTTGAGAAGAATTCCCAGGAGGTGAGAATGAGGGTGTTCTAGTCCAGACTTTGGCATTTACATATATGGACCAAGCAGAGGAATTTCTCCTCTCCCTGCCTTCGTCTCCTTCGTCTGTGAAGTGGGAGTGCAATTGCTTGCCTCACGCTTTTGTTCTGGTGACTCAATGAGTTCGCAGATGCACAAAAGTTTTATAAATTGTGCTGAGTGATGGAACGGATGACTGATTTTTACTCTTTTCACAGATACACGCTATTTCAGGGGAGTGGTGGACACTCCCCTTTCCTTAGGTGACAAGATTTCTATCCCTGATGAGGGGCAAACCTGGACCACACAGGAAGAAGTGAGTAAAGGTCAACTGTGTGACCACATGAACCAAACACATGTGGGGCATTTCCTAGCAGCCAGGAGCTCATTTCTCATTCCCGAAGCATCTTGTGAGGAATGAGCCGGTCAGGCTCCTGTGACTGGTGGGACTGTGGTCCCATGGGAGGGAGGAGAGACGACACTTGCTGAGGATATTCTGTGAGCCAGGCAGCAGGCTTCCACATGCATTCTCCAAAGTTCACCCCATTCCCAGAAGCAGAATTTGAACTGGGATCATTTAGGTAATAATATACCATTTTGCCAGATTCTTGGCCGAACACAGAAATAAAAATCCCTGCCATGCTTACATCAAAGGCTGTTTGAAAACTACAAAGAAAATCTTGTGAAAGTATTTTGTAAATGCAAATGTTCTAAGCACATATATAGAACATTATTTTTAATAACACTTTTGCTAATGTTTCATTTTCTTAATGCATAAAATACAAATTAATCACCCCTGGGGTTGCAGGGGCTCTCAGTACTAATGTGTGATTTCCTATCAGTATTTTCTATGCAGACATTTTATGCAAGGGAGATCTTATTGTATAATATACACATGATTTCCTTATTTTTACCTTATATTCTGGTCTGCAGGGATCAAGCTGAAACAGGCTTTCCAACATCCCTTGAGGGGTCCCGGATTGCAAAGAGGGTTGCAGGCCAGACCCAGGGACCCTAGTGGTGCACAATCAGGGTTTGGGGGGGACTTCAGGAAGGCTCCAGGGTGTGTCCAACCCATCTTGTTTTAACCAGTCTTGATCAGGGCCAATCGGGGCTGGCCAGCCAGGGAGGAACTGTGGAAGGGATTCAAATGTACCGGGCCCAACTAGCTTGGTCCCAATTGGCCAGACCCCAGCAGCAAGCTAACTACAGGTCGAACAGTAGAACAAATGATGGGACACTTAATATGTTAGGCTTTTATTATATAAGATTGCCCATATGATGAACATTAATAAGCATAATCTTTATAGATATACCCAATTATAGAATTTTTAATTATTTCCTTTAACCATGGAGGGGAAACATTTTTAAAGCTTTTGGTACCTATTGTAAAATTTCTTATTTCAAAATGTATTTAATTTATCTACCCAGTAGCTCTATATGGGAACGGCCACCTCAAAGAACCAAGACTGGCTATTACTTTTTAAATTATCTTCAAGTGATTTCACTGATTTTTTTTTATTGTGTCACATTTATTGGTGAGTGTGAACATGCTTTTGAATATAGCACATTCTTCCTTGTGCATTATTTTTTCACATTCTTCATCTATTTCACTTGAGGGCTTCTGTTAATATTGACAAGAAAAGGAAATCACAAACTTTACCATGTCATTTACACAGAACACACCCGGGAGAGACTGGGAGAGCAAGATGAGGGGTAAAATACTAAACACTTCCTCTTCACACAGCACCATGCTCAATACTGTAATCATTCACTCAACAAATTCACTCAAGAAATATGTGTTGAGTGCCTGCCATGTACCAGACACAATTATAGGCTCTCGTGTGCGAGTCGCTGTGCTCATGAAATTTACATGCTAGTGGAGGAGTTCATTCATAAATGAATAAACACTAGACCGTCAAACAATACATCAAGTGGTAAGTGCTTTAAAAAAATAATTAAAACCCAGCCAGTGTGGCTCAGTGGTTGAGCATTGACCTATGAACCAGGAGGTCAGGATTTGATGCCCCATCAGGGCACATGCCTGGGTTGTGGGCTCAGTCCCCAGTGTGGGGTGTGCAGGAGGCAGCTGATCAATGACTCTTTCATCATTAATATTTCTATCTTTCTCTCCTTTTCCATTGCTCTCTGAAAGCAATGAAAATGTATTTTTTAAAAATAAAAATAAGTAAAGACAAGTATGGAGAGTTATGGAAGGTCTTTCTGAGTAGAGGTTGGAATGAATAGTGACATTTAATCCTCAAAATAACTTTGCAAGGTGAGCATTATAATTCCTGTTAACAGCTCCGACTTTTATGAGCTCTATCGGTTTGGGCCAGTTACCCTCTCTGAGCCTTTATAGCTCAGCTCAAGATCTCATGACTATTAGGCTAGTACATACAGAACACAGGGAAGGCAGCAAGCTAAGGGTGCAAGAAGAACACTGAAATAAGCCTCCAGCACGCCAGTCTCCACAGGGTAACCTTGGAGGAATTAGAAGCTGATGGTGCAATGAAAGAAGCCATAGCAACAACAAAACCCAAACCATGCTCAACTCCCAACTAGGCTGGCCAGCTGAAGAGCCACGCCCTTTTCAAGCATAAATATGGCAGTTCAATGTTCCACAGAGGACAGAGGTGGGCATTGAACATCCAAGATAACAGGTCACAGGGAACCAATGACCCCTCCTTCCCATCTACCTTAGCCACCTCAACTTGATGCCAATAAAGAGGAACACTAAGACCCTGTGTTAGTCAGGGTTGTCTAGAAACATAGGGCAGATAGAAAGAGAGAGAGAGATACATACACATACACATACACATCTAAATAAAATAGCTACTATGAAGGCTAACTCCAAGCTCTGCCATCTGCACGCTGGAGAGAGACACCCAGGACAGCCAGTGGTGGAAGTTGCCATCTGAGTCTAAAGGTCTGAGAACCGAGAGAGTTAATGGTGTCAATCCCAGCTGAGGGCAGGAGGAAACCAGTGTCCCAGCCAAGCCGAGATCAAATTATCCTTTCCTCTGCCTCTTCATTCTATCTAGCCCCTAAACTGGCGGAGGCCCACCTGCACCGGAAGGACCCTCTGCTTTATTCAGTTTACTGATTTGATTCAAATGCTAATCTCCTCTGCCAACAGCCTCACAGACACACCCAGAAGTAACAGCTAACCAAATAACTGAGGCCCTGTCAAGTTAACACAAAAGTAATCATCATAGACCCCAATATTGACAGGCTTAAAGGCTTTCAAAGGCACTGGGCACTATTATGATGTAGTTAGTAGTTCATTAATGTCTTTCATGATATTAATAATGACAACTAACAATTATTACACTTACATGGTGCCAACCCACTCCCTTCTCGAGGCACTTTATGTGATGTGTCACATGTAATCCTCCCTCTCTTCAGAGGTATCAGTACTTTTGTTGCCTCCATTTCACAGATAAGGAAACTGAGGTACAGAAGGTTCAGTGAGTTGTTACATTTTATAGCTAGCACATAGTGATGGAGGTGAAATCCCAACCCGCGCAGTCAAAAGAGGCCACATGCTAATCTGCCTGCTCAATTACTTTCAGAGTCCTTGATCCTGTAGGTTGGTCTTCATAATAGCTCAATGATGTGAATTGACTAAGTATTGTCCCTATTATAAAATTGAAAAATCTAAGGCTCATAACATGCTGAATACCTTTCCAAAGGTTCACAGCAATTAGAGACAGGCTTGGATCTCAAATTCAAGTATTTTTATGACAAACTAGAGGCCCAATGCATGAAGATTTGTGCAAGAATGGGCCTTCCTTCTCCTGGCTGCTAGCACCGCCTTCACTCTGGCCAGAGCCACCTTTCCGCCTTCCCATGCTGCCCAGCAGCCCAGAGCTGCTGGAACAGTGTGGAACACCTGCATCATCATCACCATGGTGATGATGCAAGCATCCTGCCCTTGGCCTCTCTCAGAGCCTGCATATGCAAATTAACCTGTCATCTTTGTTGGGTTAATTTGCATGCTCACTCCTGGTTGGCTGGTGGGTGTCGTGAAGGTATGGTCAATTTGCATCTTTCTCTTTTATTAGTGTAGATACCATCCAAGGCCACTACACTCTTCACTAGCACAGGGGGACAACTACTGACATGTACTGACTGCCTGCCAACCATACACACATGGTGATCTCCAAGAACAGTGAGTCCAGAGACCTATGCCTTTATCCTTGGGACTCTAACCAGAAAGTGTAGTAGGACATTATATGGTATCATAGTCACATTTAGTAGGACATTATAAGATATCATAGTCACAGTGTAAGAGATAATGGTGCCCTATTGTCTTCTACAGGTGGACAAACCTACTACCAAGGACATCAGGAGCCAACATGCTAAAGGTAAAGTCAAGTCACAACGTTTGACAGAGAAGTAGATTTCTTTGCTTCCAAAATCTTTTTGTATTTTTGTTTGTGGCCACAGATTTTCTTAAATCAGGGAGCTCTATTGAACTTTCATCCTTCATGAAATATCTACTTTTTCAAAGATTCTCATACATCTTGTGCCTTTTTATCACCTTATTTTATTGATGAAGTAATCGATTGTGAAAACTCATAATCTGGGTTGTGCAATTTCAGAAAGAAATCATTTAAAAACATATGGATTTCATTTAACTTCTAAGTTGTTTTTCTAAGCAAACCCCCAATAAAATCATAAGATAGAAACTTAATTTTAAAATGTTGATTAATTAATATAAAAACAGATATTAAAGCTTTAGGCAAAACAGCTCAATTTGGAGAGGAAGATACGGGTAGAAGGCAGAGGGGAACTAATCAATGTCAGTGGTGCTCAAAGCACAAATAGAGGACAAAGTAATGTAATAGAATTATATCCACCAAATTTCTCTCATTATTTTCCCCTATGTCCCCATCCTCTCTCACAGTGCCCAACTGGAAAATATGACAGTCCCATGATTTATATTTCCCAATAACTGAAACATATAAAGGTCACCTTTTATGTGTCTATTGCTTTGTTTTAGGACATATTACTAATCCCATACTTTCTTTAATGGGAAAGTTAGGGTCCTAACAGAAATGGCATGCCCAAATTAGGATAATGTTTAGGTAGTTTATTTGCTAGGAGCAGTTTGATGAGGGATGTGGGTATAGGGAAAGAACCAGAGATGGTGCCAGAACTAGGGCTAAAGCAGTGGCCACTGTCACCACTCCGCAGGCCCAGAGCAATGAGGGGACAGTGGCTGAAGATCAGAAGGGGCACATGCCTTCAGAAGAGCAGTGACCACTGGTTCAGGGACACCACCAGCCCAAGAGCACAAGGTGGAAGCCAAGGAAACATTTGCCTGGCCTCCCTCTTATGTCCTGGGGCTTCCCAAAGGAAAAGCCAGATGGAAAAGATGTGCAGGGCAAGGCATGAGGGGAGGGTGAGGAGACTCCATGCTTCCTGAATCTCCAGGTGTCCACCAACCCGGAAACTTCATTACACGGATAAGAGTAATTAGCTTAGTGGCCATTGGTAACCGAACCCCATCTCCAGCCCCCTCCTCTTCCCAGCTTCCAGGTAGACAGAAAGTTCCAGCCCCTCGATTCCATGATTCCATAAATGGCTCCACAGACAACAGCCCCCACCTTTAGGTGTGGCCTAAAACTTGCCTCATTAACATAAAAAAAGACGCCGATACAGTTCTCACCACTTAGGAAATTCTAAGGGATTTGGGAGCTCTGTGCCAGACACAGGGACCAAGACCAAATATATATTTCTTATTATAAATCACAGTATCACAATTATCCTTTCATTTCTTTATCTATACTTTGCCTCTTCACATAAAGACATTGGAGTCATTAACAAAAATGTACTTAATAAAATAGAAGAAAATGAAAATAAAAAATCGTAGGAAAAGTCTAGGTGACCCGTATGACAAAAATAAAATTCGGGATCCACAGGCACACATCACTACATTGTATTAAGATGAAGATATTAATTGGCCTCTGAGCTTCCTGGTAGTCTAAGCAAAAAAGGGGATCATGTTGCTTTATGGATATTAATTGTCCATAACACAGAAAGCAAACCAAGTTGTCAGGGAGAGCAATAAGGACATACCTTTCAGAGATAAGTTAGTGCTGTCAATTTTATAGGGGATGTTGGCTGGAATATGGGTACCAGGGATACAAAAATAGGACTGTTTTTTTTTAAAACAGATGCCAGTGTCAACGAAGGCCAAAACTACAGAGAGGACCTCAGTGAAAGCCAGGCATACAGAAGTTTGGGCCTTTAGGGAGTGGAGGAGGTGGTGTGGAAAACTTCAGTAGGAATTATTTTCTTTACATCCTCCCACACGCCCATAATTGATGGTTCTCCATTACCACCCAGAGCTCGAAGGTACTACACAGAGGAGGAAGCTAGAAGAAGGAGAATTGATATGAATGCCCCTGCTTTTAAGATTAGGCATCTTGCTAGAAAAATGCTTCAATGATTTATGTGTTTATTACAAACTTCTGTGTTTCTGATGCAAACACATTCTCAGATAATTTATTCTTTCTCACAAAAAAAAAACATACCGGGTGGTTCAGTAATGGCAAGATTTTATGGTGATATTTTTCATCAAGTTGAGCAGTTATAGATTTATGTTAATGTACATTTCATGTCATTTTTCTTACAATCATCTTCTGACATTATCTGGAAGCCGTCAGATTTTAAGAACTTATCTTCCCTGAAGCTTGACTTTATTTTCATTCCTGAAAATGGATAAAAGTTTTACTTGAAGGCAAAGTACATATATATATAGTCTAAGTTGCCTGTGATGAACCATTAGCATTAACCACAGATTCAGAGGAAATCATCTTTTCAAATGGGGATGACTGTAATATTCAAATGTGGTGTGGCTGAGCTTCCTAACGCTGAGAATAAAGGAGGTGAAAATGACTCTCTCTTTGCCTTGGGTGTACTCGTAAACGAAACACACACTCTAAACCAATTTTCTTTGAAGTGACAAGCATACCCTACACAAGAAATAATTTATAACAAACTACAAGAAACTATACAAGAAAAGAAAGAGAATTACACAGAGGCGATTGGACATGCAAATACGGAAACATGAACTTGTTTGAAAAGAAACAACATAGGATTCCACATGATGCCATTGGAAGACCTGTCTACTGGTTGGCTTTCAAACAGATTGAGATGCCAAAGGAATCAGAAACAGAGATGATGACGTTGATTTTAATCGGGTTCAACTCCCTCGTGTTATACAAAGGGGTCTGGAGGGAAAAGTGGCTTGTTCAAGGTCACCAAGCAAGTATTCACAACCCAGACCAGAACCCAGTGTTTTGACAACGATGGCAATGACCCCAGAGTTCCACTGTTGGTGCTAGTATCTAAAATTTATTCTGCAAAGCCCCTCTCCTATTTCCTAACCAATAGCCTACTCATCCACCTTGTGAAGAATTGATAGATGGTGTTGCCGCCTAGTGGCGGAACACTGCAACACAAAATATCACAAAAATGATGCACGTTAGCATCCTATATATTATATCCTTAACAGGTTTAAATTTATTTCAGACACAACCCCTGGCTCAAAAGCAACAGAGGCATTAATACAATATTCAGTTCAAAGTGAACGTTACAAATTTTAAAAGTTTTAAAAAAAAATAATCATTGAGACAACAGGGCAGTTAGGGCTGAGCCTTACTTTCACCACCACTGAAAGTAAGGCTCAGCCCTAACTGGTTTGGCTCAGTGGATAGAGCGTTGGCCTGTGGACTGAAGGGTCCCAGGTTTGATTCCAGTCAACAGCATGTACCTTGGTTACAGGAATATCCCCAGTAAGGGGTGTACAGGAGGCAGCTAATCAATGTTTCTCTTTCATCAATATTTCTAACTCTCTATCCCTCTCCCTTCCTCTCTGTGGATAGTCAATAAAATATATTTTTTAAAGAAAGTAAGGCTCAGAGAAAAGGAAAGACGTCTGATAACTGCTTGACAGAGAAAATGTGTTTTGTCTGACAGAGACATATAATATAAAGTAGCCGCAAGTGGGAGACTTTAAAAAACAGGCAGCTGCAGTCTTCTGTGATAATGGCCAGGGGAGAAGGTCACTTTGTTTAAAATTGCTTCGTGCCACGGCCACAAGGAGCCCAAGTATGGCAAGTTCTCTGTTAAGTATTGTGGGGACTCAGGAAGGCTTCACAGAACAAGGGACATTGGAATGAAGTGTGAGACGGTAACTTCAGGAGGCATCAAGTACTATTTCTGATGCTCAGGAGCAGCTAAGATGTGGTTATATGAATGTTGGAATTGGGGACAAGGCACCTTGGGTTCAAACCCCAGTGATAATGCTTTCCAAACATGGAATCTACAAGTATCTTCCATCTCCAAGGTCAGGTGTCTATAAAATGAAGAAAATAGCACTACATCATAAGGTATTTGTGTGTTTTAAAGGTGATAAGCTAACCTACCAGTTGGAGCGTCTGCCCCCTGGTGGTCAGTGTGTGTCATAGCAAATGGTTGAGTGGCCTTAAGCATATCATTAACATATTACACTTTGAACAGTTGACCATTCACCGAATGACCGGACACTTAGCATATTAGGTTTTTACTATATAGGATTTTTAAAGTATGGCTGTGTTTAATTACTGCATTGCAAAACTCCTGAAAATGGAAAAAACCAGCTCTTATAAATTGTTACAAGCTTCTCGGACACACCACAAAAATGTCTGGTGATTCTTTCTTCTTCTCCAGGAGGTTTTGCTTTAACTTCACAGACCTCTGTGAAGCTGAAACATTCTTCACGGTTTCACCCCAAAAAGTTATAGAGGTCAGAGTGGGTCCAACGGATCGCATAATCATGTGGTCTCACTTCACTACATTACCTCCAAGAAGCTGTCAACTCTGCAGCTGAAAGGAGATCTGTCTTATCTCAGACTGGAGACCCAGGTCGCAGGGTGCTAGTTGCACTTGTGGCCGCCAGATGGCGATCATGCAGCCGTGTTCCTGTGAAACTGCTTTATTCCATTTCACGATGGGAAAGACCTAGAAGAAGAAATATCTGGATCTTCCTGTGTGATAGACATAAAACTTTTTAGAGCTTGAGAATATGTACTTCACCGGGGAGCACATAATTTTTCCATTACACAATAATCCTAGTAACAGTGGGTATCCAAGAAAAGCCAAGGATTGGAAGTTCTGAAATCATTTATTCCCCCACGAATTCCCATGAAGTGTAACATTCCTCACTTTTTCCCATGTGAAAATTCAGCCTTTCCTCAATCCATTTGTTGACTTCATGCTATGATTCTGCCCATAGTAAGTAGCAGAATTAAGATTCAAGTTCAACTCCAATTATATCCTCTTCCATTGGCCCAAGCACCTGAGGCATTATCACTTTATGAAACAAGACTCCCCCACTTCACCCCACCCCACACACACACACACACACACATACACACACACACACACACACACACACACACAAAAAAAAAAAAAAAAAAAAAAAAAAACCTGGTTGGATTTTATCTGGGTTATCTTCAAAGCTATATGACATCATGACACGTTGCTTCCTATATGATCCGGTTTTCTTATTCATGCATTCCCTGACATTCATCTCTAACTCTTAGTTTGTTGGATTTCAATTCTCCAAAGCCAGCAATTTTCAACCTGTATGCCACAAAGATTTTTAAAACGTGCTGTATCTGACTTCTTTTCCCTTAGATTGTCAAATTAAAAAATGATAACAGCCAACACAACAATTGCCAACCAGTGTGAATGACTCAAAAGTGTACTTTCTTGGACAGGTCAGCAAAACATATATATTTTGGTATACCGAAGAATTATAGTAATTAGTTTATGTGTGTCATGAGATAAAAATGGTTAAGCCCTAGCCACGTACCTCAGTTGGTTAGAGCATCATCCCAATACACCAAAGTTTTGAGTTTAATGCATGGTCAGGGTACATACAAGAATCAACCAATGAATGCATAGATAGGTGGAATAGATAGGTTTAAAAATAAATTGATGCTTCTCTCTTTCACTCACTCTCCCTTCTTCTCTCTTCATTCCTCTCTCCCTCTAAAAATAAATATTAAAAAAAAAAAAAAGGTTGGCACTCCTAGCATGGCTCAGTGGTTGAGCCTCGACCTATGAACCAGCAGGTCATGGTTCGAGTCCCAGTCAGGACACATGCCCGAATTATGGACTCGATCCCCAATGTAGAGCATACAGGAGGCAGCTGATCATGATTCTCTCCCATCACTGATGTTTCTATCTCTCTCTCCCTCTCACTTTCTCTCTGAAATCAATTTTTTTAAAAGAAAAAGGTTGAAAGTCACTTATCTATGTGATGAATGGGAGAAGCATGACGGCATAAATTACCACGAGTAGGCATGTTTGATGTTGCTGAAACCCTTGGGGATTTTTGTCTTTGCTGCTGATAATAGCATATCCAGATTATTCAAGTGAGGGAACTACTAAATGATGCCAGAGAAAACCCAACATTCCATTGAAGGCACAAAACCCTTAGGCTCTGTTTCAAAAAGATGCACCATGACTGAGCAGACCCCTGTGACCTGGGCACCCCCACTCCACAACCAGCCCTCCCCTATCTCGCCCAGGGCCTTTGCACTTGCTGTTCCCTCTCCCCAATATTCACATGCCATGCTCCCTCACCTTCCTCTAGCTCCGTTCCCATCAGCTATCCAGGAGGCCTTCAGGAGTCTGCCAAAAACACAGCAGCCCCATCCCCCGTCTCTCCCTCTCCCTGCCCGGCTGTCCCTCACCCTGCTTCATTTTTATTGGGGCACCTGTCACCACCTGTCATCATGGACTTTGTTTTCTATCTCCTGCCACTGAAATGAAGATATATGGGAATAGCAGGGTTCTGGTGGTTTTGTTTTTTGATTTGTTTGCTTTTTTGATAGTACATTCCCCAACAACTACATCAATACATATATTGAAAAGGAATCCATGCCTGACCCGTGCTATATGCGCAATAATGTCAGTGAATAAAAGGAAGATGTATGTCCTCTTCTGAACTCCCAGTCACTGAAGCAGATGAGATAGATGTCTCTGGAACAATAAATGGAATGTTCCTATTGAATTCGGACGCTCGGTCACTTTATTGAATTGTGTTTCCAGTGAATTGAATTGATCCTCCATAGGTGAGTGGTAGCTATGAAAGAAGACTGCTAGGAAGGCCAGCATCTAGCTTCTCGGGGACGGTCATCAGTACCAGCAGCCAGATGGCTCCCCGAGCAGCTTGAGAGGTGAAGCCAATACTCAAGAAAATGAGGGCGGGCTCGTTTTCTGTTTTTTTTAACTCTGTGCTTTAAGGAAGCAACAGGGGGTCTAAACTTTTCGGTCATATCATCACAATAGCCAGAGATACAACATGAACTATATTGCTGCTGGTGGTGAAATGCGCCCTGGTTCATATTTTGTTTTTTCCAATGACACCCATGGTTCCTGTTTGCCATCAGTGTCTGAACTCATGCCGGGAGGCCTACCCTAGCTATTTAAAGAGTATTTTCCAAAACAGAAACAAAACAGGGAAAATGGTAATTCTACTCAATGAGTTAGTTACTGTAGATGTGGGAGAGCCCTGAAATCATCTAGACAAGTACGTGTGGTGTTGTAGTGTTGTGGTGTTGTGTTGTGTCGTGGTGTTGTGGTGTTGTGTTGTGTCGTGGTGTTGTGGTGTTCTGTTGTGTTGTAGTGTAGCGCATCTTTACCCAAAAGAAATCTTAGCCGAAACCTGTTTGGCTCAGTGGATAGAGCATCAGCCTGCGGACTGAAAGGTCCCAGGTTCGATTCCAGTCAAGGGCATATACCTTGGTAGGGGGTGTGCAAGAGGCAGCCGATCAATGATTCTCTCTCATTGATGTTTCTAACTCTCTATCCCTCTCTCTTCCTCTCTGTAAAAAAATCAATAAAATATATATATATATATATATATATATTATAAAAAAGAAATCTTAAAAGGAGATCCCATGGGAAGTAGATAAAGTGGAGACTTCCCCCTCCCACACGTCCCCAATGACATCGGTATGAGCCAGAACCAGCCCCCAACCCTCAGGCTTCTTAGGCATCCCCGAAGAGAGCACAGGGAGTTCTTCAGAGCATGTTTAAACCTTCAGAGCATGTAGTCCAACCTTGTCTCACAAATAAGGAACTTGGATTAGTGAGATTGCTATAGGTAAAAGAATGTTCGTTTGAATCAAGAATTACTGGTTAAGAGGGGACCTAAAATCTTATTCTAGCATTTGCTAACTTCAGGGTGACCAGAAGCAAGATACTTAACTTCCCCATGCCTCAGTTTCTTTATTTCCAGCACAAAGGAGAGAATTATATGAAATTACATAGCAAAAGTATTTATCTTGATGCTGGGTACCTAATTTGGTATCAATAAATGTTGCCCCGGCTGGCGTGGCTCAGTTGGTTGGAATGTTGTCCATACATTGAAAGGTTGTGGGTTCAATTCCCAGTCCAGACTCATACAGGAGATATAGGAGGCAACCAAATGGAGTTTCTCTCACATCAATGTTTCTCTCTCTCTTTATCTCTATTTCTATCTTCCTCCCTCCTCCTCTCTAAATTCAATAAACATATCCTGGGGTGAGGATTAATTTTTTTAAGGTTAATTGACATTATATTTAGATTATTTAAACAGGAATGATTTCCACTTAGCTATGCATTAAAAAAAGGGTGTGATGACATTTTCTGTAAACTCACTGCTGTTCCCTCTCATGTTTTAGGAGACAAGCCCTCCATGAGAAACAAGGTAAGAAGAATCATGAAAATGCATGCATTCCCCACTCCTTACTTTAGCAGCATAGGAAGGTGGGCGCTGTGAAGGCTGAGATGTCACTTGAAAACTATATCCTAGAAGTGTAGTTGGGATTTGTAGTTTGTTTGTAAAATCAAAAAATTCTTACCCATTAGCTTGGCTCATACAACAATAAATGTAACTTCTGATTCTCTTTCCTTTTGCAGACTCCTTTACCACCTCCTCGGTAAGACAATTAGATGGGTTCTTTGCACTGCTATATGCTTAGATAATAAGTTCCAGAATTTGAAAAGTTCCAAAATTTAAAAAAGGAAAACACAAAAAGTTGACATTGAAAAGTGTTAATGAGTTAGCCAACAAACTATATTAAATAAGCCTTCATTCATCCACTCAATCATTCATTCATTCACAGTTGTCCACTCAATATGCCCTCCTCATCATTGCTTCCCCTAGCCCGTCCTGTCTCCCTCCTTTCTAGTCCAGAAATCTGCCAGATAGAACTGGCCCTCAGAAATGGCATCAATGGACTTGAAGTTTACATTTACATAAGTGCATACATAAGTATAAAGAGTATTACATGTGCGAGGACATAGACACAGAGACGAGAGAAACAGACTTAATTCTTGGGCTTTGCTGAGGCAGCCACTCCTGTTTTCCTGGAAGTACTTCAGTCATTCCCTCCCAGGAACCTTCTCACCACTGCTCTCTGCCCTCCCGGAGGGGAGTACCTGAGCCAGCAGCTGAGTCATTTCTTCTCTGCATTCCCAGCATCTGTCAATAGCGCCCCATGCCTCTCTCAGTGAGCGAGTGGATACGTGGGTGAATACGTGGGTGAGTGAGGCAGTCCCTGACGTTCAAGCATTTCCCCCATTTCTTTGGGAATTTAAACATCTCGGATACCCCAGTCTGGGGTAAATGGAAGGCTATTGTGATATTTTGTCCCCGGGCCTCCTAAAACGCAAACAGGTGGCATATGGAAGAACCAAAGACACCCTGTAACAAGTCACATCAGAACCCGGCCAGCATGGCTCAGTGGTTGAGCATTGACCTATGACCCAGGAGGTCACGGTTCAATTCCCCATCAGGGCACATGCCTGGGCTGCAGGCTCAATCCCCAGTGTAGGGTGTGCAGAAGGCAGCTGATCAGTTATCTCTCCCTCCCTCTCCCTTCCTCTATGAAATCAATAAAAAATATATTTTTTTTAAAAAAGCAAGTCCCTTGGCGATATGGGAGCACGAGGCAGGAAGATGGATGTGGGCTCCTTAGACGCCTAAATGCTGTTGGGGCTATCGCAGACCTGAAATGGAGCGGGCGTGGCTGTAAGCCTCTGCCCCAGACACTGACGCGCACCACCAAGGCAGGCGCACTGTGGGCAGGCGTGTGGGGAGCCCCCTGTACACGGGCTTCTCACTTTCCCCTGTGACTCTTCCCACAGGCTGCCTGTCACTCGTCCGAAAAAGTACCAGCCCCTGCCCCCCGAGCCAGAGGGCAACGTGTCCCCCTCCCTGCTGAGGCACCCCTTCCCCGAAGCCCAGAGGGCACCCAGGTGAGAACCTGGCCATGGCTGCTGGTGAAATGGCCGGGGGGGGGGGGGGGGGGGGGGAAGGGGGGTATCCTGGGTGGGGTGACAGGGACAACCCACCAGTCCCCTCTCAGATCAGGCTGCCTAAAGGGTGGGGAGTGGCCAGTTATACCTGGGAGAGGAATAGTCTTAGAAACTTGCGGCTGGATTCTTTAACGGGAAACACAGCTTGTTGGTAATGAAGGGAGTTAGAAGAATGGCTCACTTGAGACATGAATTAGTTATTCAAGAAAATGTTAAATGCCGGCATAGAATCGGATTTTTATGTAAAAATGACCAAAAAGTGGTTGTTCGGGCTACTGGGGGGACAGTATGGGTCCCCAGAGTCCCGTCACCGTGAAATGCATGTGTATTTCATCCAAATACAGCCATGTGGGGAAGCCCATTTGTCAGAAACGTTACGGCCTCTGTGACAAATAGACATTACTAAGCCAGCTCGCAGGCCCGAGGTGCTGAAGACCGACCTCGCTCCCAGAGGCAGGGGCATGGGCAGGCAGCTCTGATCTCAAAGTGTGACAGCCCAATGGGCATATTTCTCCAGCATTTAAATGCCCAGGATCACCTTGTTGAGAAGTCAGAGCAGCCTAGCTGGTGTGGCTCAGTGCTGAGCATCAACTCATGAACCAGGAGGTCACAGTTTGATTCTCAGTCAAGGGCACATGCCCAGGTTCCAGGCTCGATCCCCAGTAACGATTCTCTCTCATTACTGATATATATATATCCCTCTTTACTGATATATATATATATATATATATATATATATATATATATCCCTCTTCCTTCCTCTCTGAAATCAATAAAAACATATTTTTTAAAAGAGAAGTCTGGGCAGAGATTAGCATTGCCCTCGTGTCCCGCACAGAATGAGGTGGACTGTCTTCTTGTGGGCTTGACACACAGGCAGGGCACCAGAGTTTTCAGAGTGAGCCTTTCTCTCTGATCAGAAATTCAAAATACCAGGCACACTTACAGCTTCTATGGAAAACCCACTTATTGCTGACGAGGGCCATTGGAGAGCCTAGAATGTCATCTTCCTCTTCATTTGTGATGAATGTCTCTTCGTCTGCTCGTCCTTCCCAGCTTCTCACACACATACAGCTCCCAGGCCACACCCCTTCACTCCCAGATGCCATTCCTGTCCCCTCCTCTGTCAGCATAGCGTGCAGGAAGGGACAGGATTCAGACAGCCCAGGTTGAAGTCTATGAACCTGGACAATCAATGGGTCCGGGCTGCCTGGCACTAGTTGAGCCAATTTGGCAGAGACAGGGTTGAATCATGTATGAGCGTTTATTCCAGTCCTGCTGGCAGCTTGGGAGAGTAGCAGGTCATCCACAAATGTCTGCTCTGCCCCCACCAAAGCCAGCTGCTCATATTGAGTAGGAGGACAAAGATTACATGGGAAAGTGGGCAAAGGGCCAAAGGGCAGTTAACAGGTAAAGCGGACTGGACACTTGCCAAGGCCTGTGGGCATGCAAAGGCCTGTGGGTATGCAAAGCTGGGGTCCTCAAAGGGCTGGTGTAGGCAGAGGTCTGGCGCCTCTGTTTTCTGCAACACCGTTGATAATCTTCCCGTGATAACAGGAAGCTCCCAGATGGGGAGGGTGGGCTGCATTCCCAGGTGAGCTCCCAAGGCCCACGTGCAACTCCCAGCAGGTTAGAATGCACCTTCTTTAATCAGAACAGCCCAGTCACAGAGCGTGGTTAATATTTCTTACAATTATAGTTGGTCCCTAATATTCTGTTTCTGCCCCTATCATTTAGGCTCTCCTTCTGAGCTGGCAGGTCTGGGGCACAGGACTTCACCTGAGGTGACTGTCTCCCAGAGAGTTAGCACTCCCTGGAGACTTTCTGGCTGTGACGTGATGGCTAGAGAGGCCAGGGGTGCTGCTAACCATCCTGCAGTGCACAGGATGGCCCACGGCACAGAGGTCACTGCCAAGGTTGGGAAACGGCCTTCCGGCACAGGACTAACCTTCCTGGGGTTTTTCTCAGCAGTGAGGTGACAGGACTGTTTCTCCCGCCTGCCTCCTGGACCAGTGGTCGGCAAACTCATTAGCCAATAGAGCCAAATAGCAACAGTACAGCGATTGAAATTTCTTTTGAGAGCCACATTTTTTTAAACTTCTTCTGATGCCACTTCTTCAACATAGACTCCCCCCGGCCGTGGTATTTTGTGGAAGAGCCACACTCGAGGGGCCAAAGAGCCGCCTGTGACTTGCGAGCTACAGTTTACCGACCACAGCCTTAGGAGACGGCTCTCAAATTCATTTTTGTTGGACCTTGTGCTGGTTGGCAGGTGGCCGTTTTACTGATGGTTCAATTCCCAGGAACCATCGGAGGTGCCTGCTGGGGTCACTTTCTCTGAAAACAGGACACTGGAGGGCTGAGACTCCTTCCGAAGCAGGAGCACGAGCCAGCTCCTCCAACAGCCACTCCAGCCCTGGGAGGTGAATGTGAATGTGTCCTCGTCCTCCCCCCCCCCCCCCCGCCCCTCCAGGCTGCGATTTACATCTGGCAAGGGGGGGAAGGGGGGAGAGGGCGGAAGGAGGCAGCTGGGCCTGCACAGTGGCAGTTCCCCTTGAGGAGGTGGCTGCAGCCATTGTGTATCCGCCCAATTGTCTGCACTGCCCCCCATCCTCCCCTTTAAAGCTGAGTCCTGGCTCCCCAGGACAAGTGCTGAATGGAAGCCAATGAGACAAGGAAAATGCCACTTACATGCTCATTAGCACTTACCCCAGAGGGAACTTTGAAGTGGGGGCACAGCTGGTTAAACATTCGCAGCCATCCTAGGCCATCATCGAGGCTTTCACAAGAGCCATGTACTGAACAGGTTTTGCTCAATTCATTTTATTTAACTCACTGACTGGGGCGGGGGGGGGGGGGGGGGGGGAAGGGGTGGAAATGCATTTGTTGTTCCACATATTAATGCATTTATTGGTTGCTTCTGGTGTGTGCCCTGAATGGGGATTGAACCTGCAACCTTGGTGTATCAAGATGATGCTCCAACCAACTGAGCTACCAGGCCAGGTAGCTCATTCTCTCTTTTTCCTCATTCATTCTTAACTCAAGTAAATTGGTGTAATAGGGAAACATACCGTCCAAACTCTGCTCAAAGGGAAATGCATGTGTGGGGGAGGTGGAGGGGGTGGGGGGGTTGAATACACTAACGCCCCATAAGACTCTCCTGAGCATAATTAGAAAGAGATTTGACGGGCATGGCTGTCTAACTATATATCCATCATCATCTCAACACCATGGCACATGCCGTCCTGGGTGGTCATGGGAGTGGCCGACCCCAGCTAGGCGTTAGCTGCACCCAGAGTCCTGGGTACATTACTCCAGCCCACAGTGCCACAATCCCCAGGCACTCATGAGACACAGAAAGACAGAGAGGTCACTGAGCCACGGTGTCTCCTTTCTGGTCAACAAACTCAGTGGCCCGCAGTGCAGGCTTCAGCCAAAATATAATTTAAATCAAGGGCCTGGTTTTAACAAGCAGAACACACATTTCTTCCACCAAGGCGTTCCCTTTTAAACCAGCCATGAATATAGGTATCAGGAAACCATGGTCCTTTAAAAGAGAGATGTATGGATTATGAAGAAGTTAAACCAATTCTCATTTATGAATGGGCACTGTTGACCCTACAATGTGAACTTGATTTATCACCATAATTTTGCACAATGGTGCCATCGGAGGAAACAGGGTGAAGGCCATGCCTCTGATCCGTCATTTCTCACCACTGCCTGAGACCTGTACTTGCCCCAGAATAACAAGTTTCGTCTAAAAGGAAGTGCTAGGCGTGCTCTGTGGAGATGAGGTGTTCTTTTATTCCAAGAAGCATCCACGTGTAGTATTATTTCATGAGAACCGCATTCAACCCTCTTTTTTGCTGTGGATTGACCCATTGTACAGGCGGGAAAAACTAAGCCTCAGAGAGGACATTTCACTTGTCCAAGGCGACTGAGCTCATGGACCATCGAATGAGGATTTAAAACTGAACTGAACACTAAGGGAGGCTCAAAGAGGGCTATTTTTATAGTAAAAGGTATTATCCTCACACACTGAGCACCTGTTCAGCAGCGGAGAGGATGTGGCAAAGCTTTGCTAGGTGGTCACTGACCACATTGTTAGCCGTGTCCAGGCACAAAACTTGGGCCAGCATGAGGCCAAAGATACACTCGGAGTGGCAACCTGTGCTGTGGGGAGGAGGCCAGGAGACCAGGGAACCCACCTTGCTCTGCCCTTCTGTGACTTTGTGAGGTCCCCCTGCCTTCACAAATCCCCTTTAAGAGAACCCCACACGCACACCCCCAAAGCCGGGTTCTTCCATTGCACTGGGGAGGGGAGCAGCTCACGTGGGGTCTTACCCACTCACCATTTCAATGTCCAACAACAATGGTAGGGATTTCTCACAATTCCTTGGGTTCCGCCTTAAAAAATCCAATATTTAAGGTGACCAGTTCCAAAGCCTCGCTTTCCTCAAGCCTCCAGTCCCATCTGCAAAGTGCTTAGATCGAGTGATGTCACCAAAACAGAATGACAATCGCTCTGCCTGTCACCTGAGAGTTATCAAGAGATCTTAGACAACAAGACTCGTTTACAAGTGAAGAGGGTAATCTCCTTAGCCATTTGAAATGCCTTGATACATCCCACTCTCTTGATGTTGAAGTACTTCTCATGCCAACCAGCAACACTTTCTATAGCAATTGATTTTTGTAAATCTAAGAAAGTAAATGTATAAATATAGAACATTTTAGGTTCTCATAAACTGTTCAATTGCTATAGACATGGAGTCAAACATGGGTTGACCCTTGAAACTTAAAAATCATAAGACGAAAATCAATGACACATTTTAAACAGAAGCTGTTATACTGTAAATCGGCTAGCTGAACATAGGATGCCTTAATAAGCCAGATTAATCTGGAGTCTTTTATTACGCTGGCAGGCTCAGAGGAATAATGCTTCCAGAGTCTGATCAAAGCAATCATGGGGGATGTTCTCCCTTTATTCATTTCAAATGTCTTTGTCTCCTAAAGTTGGGGCTTTCTGTCCCTTTTGCAAGTTTTCAAAAGAGCCCTTTGCATGCTTAGCAGATGTCTCACAGGAAGCTTGCAGCCTTGAGTACAACACAGTCCAGTAGCCTTGAGCACAGATAACTATCAATAAAAGACACCTGGCATGGGGGTAGCTAGGGATGGCAGCGGAGTGGCTTGCGAGATCAGATGGATAAGCTTATTTCCCCTATCATTAGAGCAAGCATCTTTTATAGAAGCCAATAACAGCAGAATTAATTCACAGAACAAAGAACCTTGTATGTCTAGTGGAAATTTCAAACAGCAGTTTTTACAAAACAGAGGTTAGTGTGCTCCAAAGCCACACAGCCAATCGGTAGTGTTCCAAATACGCCATGGTTGCTTAAATGTGAAAGCCCTGAGATGAGCCTCAATTTAACCCAAAATTAATTAATACTATGGGTGTTCGTTCTACTTTGATACTTTGAATCCAAGGGAGAGGCAGGGTTTGAATGTCCTATCTTAGAGGAGCTATGCACCAGGTTAAAGACCATAGACGTAGCTCAGTGGTTGAGCATCAACCTATGAACCAAGAGGTCAGGGTTCGATTCCTGGTCAGGGCACATATCCAGGATGTGGGCTTGATCTCTAGTGTGGGGCATGCAGGAGGCAGCCAATCAATGATTCTCTCTCATAATCTCTCCCTCTCCTCTCTCTGAAATCAATCTATAATAATAAAAGTATAATATACTAATTAGACCAGACGTCCTTCCAGATGACCTTCCAGATGAAGCCGCGGTGGCAGAGGCTAAGACAGAGCGGGCAGGGATGAGCGCCTTGCACAAATTTTGTGCATTGAGCCTCTAGTAGAAGTTTTTAAAAAATAATAAAATAAAATAAAAAAGAACGTGGGACCTCAGTACCAGTGCCTGTTGTTTGAGATCTGAGGCCAGGGCTTAGCACTTGAGCATTAGATGCTTCCGAAATTATCTAACCGGGTACAGGCAAGCGTTGTAACTCCAGGTCAACAGCCTTCGCCTGAGATTGGGTTGCAACCTCAAACTCCTGGCATTTCTTTACCCCAATCTCTCACCAGCAGGCCCATGTAGACAGAATGAGGGTTGAGAGATGCTTATTGGCTTGCCTGTCAACATCAATGAAAGGCTTGGAGTTTCTCCTGAGACTTGTCTGAGGTCACATAGCAACTCTCAGCGTTCATTCCTCCCCTCTCGCTCAGCTCCCGGGGGGTTCTGCTACGGGACTCCATCATTATCAGCACCTTTCCTCCCCCATACTCCTGCCCGGGATCCCTCTGTGCCAGACACTCTCCTAGTTAGAGCCCTTTACACTGCCTAGGAGCAAGAAAACCAAGAGCTTTAAAATGAAGGGAATAATAGCAGGTCTGGCTGAGGCAATGAAACTGGACAAGGAAAACCAAATGTCAAGAGGAATGATGATGTCATTTAAATTCTCCTAAAGCGAGAAGCAAGTTTATTCATGCCCTTTCTGCCACCACTTTTCACATGGCCTCATCACTTCTTCTTGTGGTTAGGGAAATTATGAGAAAAATAACCTGGCTTTAGTTTTATAGGAGGGTGATAAATATCACACTGGACGATGGGTTGTTGATTTGGCAATAAAAAGGTAATCAATGGTTTTAAGGGCTCAGGATGGTTTTATGTTGACAATTATGAACTGTATTTCATATGACACTGTATTTCTTTTCCCTGCAGACAGATAACCTTAAAGAACTTAAATGAGGTGAGTGGCGACTTAGTCCCAGGTAACAGGGAAGGGGAATTTTTATGTGTGAAGGGTCTGCAATATGCAAGATACTATTTGCTTTAAATACTCAGTTACACTTAATTATCATAGCAGCCAGGCTCAGCATGTGTTCGCAGCATGTGTACCTTAAAGGTGGAAAAGCTATGCTAGCTGCTTTGACTCAGTGGGTAGAGCATCAGCCTGTGGGCTGAAGGGTCCCAGGTTTGATTCCAGTCAAGGACACATGCCCAGGTTGTGGGCTTGATCCCCAGTAGGGGCATGCAGGAGACAGACAATCAATGATTCTCTCTCATCATTGATGTTTCTATCTCTCTCTCCCTCGCCCTTCCTCTCTGAAATCAATTTTAAAAAATTATTTTAAGTCACATTACCATCTAATCCAAAAGGCAATTGTGTCCAGGAGAAAGCATAGAACTGAAGGAGAGGTGAGGCCAGCCCTTGCTCATTCAGTACTTCACCAGCTCACCCACTCCTGAGAGTTAACTTAGAAAGTTGGGGGTGGTACCCACACACCCAGAGGGATCCACCCCTTTCTTCCTGTGAGTGAGATTCATGGGTCCCAAGTAGCAGGAGGCTGCCACTCACAGTGATTTACAGTCCACAACTCAGTGGTCAGTGTGAAAGGACAAGAGGCAAATGAACAAGGACAAGAGAAGGTCAGGCCTGGAGGGCAGGGACCAGGCAGGCCAGTTCATTCTCCTTGCAGCTTTGGTTGGCATTTTGCTAGAAGTTGATATCATCTAAGGAATCATGCAGCTAGTGGGAAAATGTGTTCTTCCTTCTTATGTTTTGCCAAGATATTTCCCCATTGTTTGTCTGGAGCCAGCACCAAGGCCATTTCTTGGTCACAAAAGCTTATCTTATAAGACAAATGTCACAATTGTGTGTCGCCAGAGTCTTGGAGACCAGAAATGATGAACTACATGCCCCAACTCAAATTCACATAGCACTTGATAATTCTCAAACACAGTAGAGACCCGTGGTCTCATTTAATTCTCACAAAACCCTAAGAGAAGGAAGCCTTTGAGAGGCCAGAGTCCCCCACAGCTGGCGGAGTCCATGAGAGCCCCAAGTCCAGTGTGCCCCAACCTAGGACTCTCTGAGTTAAGAAATACAGACACCTCTGAGCTCAAATGAAGAGGGGGAAAAAAGAAGAAAAAAGGAAGGAAGAAAGAGGGAGGAAGGGATTTATGGAAAACATTATTTAGCTTGCATATATTTATGTTCAAAAAACAAGCCAAAAAGTTAAAATGGAGAAACTAGAGACATTTCACTTCACTCTCCTGATATCATTAAATGTAAATGCAGTGCCCTCAAGCGAGAAGTGGACTGTCTCAATTAGATAAAACATCTGTCCCCCCAGCCGGACAGCTCAGGTATCTCCCCTTTGGCCAGCCTGAGAACCTCAGCTGCATCCGGTTGAGGTTTTGAACTGCCAGGTTCAAAGTCCTGGGGAAGACTCAGTGAGGAGACACCAAACCACTCATTAGGATGACTTCATCACCCTCTTCACTCCGCCTGAGGGCTTGCCTGCATTGCTGTCCATGATGAAGTGCATGTCCCCTTTCCAGACCCCCTTCCCAGGGCCACCATGGTCTTTGAGACAAAAGAGCTTGTCTGTAGACCAGCTTCAGACAAGACTTCCGGAGCCTCTCTAAGCACTTTGTTGCCAATGGTTTCTTGTCGCTGAAGCAAATGTGAGTCGGAGACCTGGCCTCCCTGGTCAGCTCAGCCACAAGGTAACTGTGGCAATCTGGGTGAATGGTTCCCCCTCTTTGTTTTTGTTTATGTTTTAATATATTTTCCTTGATTTCAGAGAGAGGGGGAGAGAAAGAAACATCAATGATGAAAGAGAATCCTTAATCAGCTGCCTCCTGCACGCCCCTTACTGGGAAGTGAGCCCACAACCCGGACATTTGCCCTGGGAATCAAACTGTGATGCTCAACCGCTGAGCCATGCCAGTCAGGTGGCACCCCCTCTTTGTTCCGTATCTGCATGCTGCTGGCTTAAACTTTCCATGGACCCCAGGCCCTCTTGAAAATTTCATGAAAGGTATATATAATCAACCTTCCTTTAAAATATGCACAAGTGTCTGATGGGGGAAAATGTAGCATCTCATTTCAGAAGGTTTATGACATCAAGGACCTCTTCGGTGCCTCAAATTAAGAGGCTGTTGTCTAAATGGTACCTGAGCTGCTCACCAGCTGCATGAAGTGCACTTTAGAAAAGTATTCTCAATTGCCCAGCCAGTGTTGCTCAGTGGTTGAGCACTGGCCTATGAACCAGAAGGTCATGGTTCAATTCCTGGTCAGGGCTCATGCCCCAGTGTAGGCTTGTCCCCAATAAGGGGGAAGGTGTGCAGGAGGCAGCCAATCCATGATTTTCTCTCATCATCGATGTTTCTGTCTCTCTCTTCCTCTCCCATCGTCTCTGAAATCAATAAAAATATACTTTTTTTTAATTTAAAAAAGAAAATTGTTCACAATGAAGGAGACACTTCAGCAAATTCTGGACCTCTTGAAAGGCTTTTTTGCTTCTTTCAGAGTAGAACAAGGCCCAAGAATGCAAGTCCAATAACATAGATTTTTATAATGAAAGATGGTCAGGAATTCTACCATTATTATTAGCGAAAGAAAAAGGAACTGTTTGGGAATGGCTACCTTGAAAAAAAAATAATGTGATAATTTTCATACTCCTTTTTTCAAACATGAAGAAAATTAACGATCGCCTCATCTCTTAAACACAACTTCTGTTAAGATTTTGTCATATCTCTTCAAATCCCTCTTTACACGCACATACACACCCCTACATGGAAACATGTCATGAGTCCAGTTTTTATTCTGGACTTTTTATTAATGTTGAGGCATACTTAGAGTATAATCTTATTCCACACTTTATGTCAATATTTTCGATACATGGATAATAGTCCAGTAAGTGAATAAGACCAAAACGTGCTTAACGGTGCCGCTTAGATGGGCATGCAGATTGCTTCCAGGGTTTTTTTTTTAACCTCTATTGTTGAAAGTATTACAGATGATTCCCCTCTCTCCCCCATTGACCTCTTCTCACCCGCCCCCGCACATGATCTCACTCACATGCGAAATCTAATGAACAAAATAAGCTGAGGAACAACACTAGATCCAGAGACATAGAAGCTGGAACAGACTGTTCCCAGGGTTTTGGCGGTGTAACTGAGGACATGGTGACCAGCTTCGTACATGGAACTCGGTACAGATTCCAGGTCCTTTTCTTAGAAAAAGAATCTCATCCGTGGAATGCTGGGGTGAGAATAACAGTCTCTCTAAGGCCCTTGAGAGCTATGGTTACATTGCTTTCCAAAGAGCCAACATGATCTTTAGCCTGGATATCTGCCTGTTACATCCCGAGAAGAAGGTACACTTAGTTTGTGCTCAGTCTTTCAGAGTGTTATTTGTAGATTTTTAAAATCTCAATACTAACAAAAATGTTGCTCAATCTTACTAACCAATTACTCTCAAAATACATATTATGACGTTTTCTAGCACCAAGAATCATTCAACTTTTTTTTTTTTCCATTTAACACAGGTTCTGGGAGCAGAGAAAGGTAAACTGTTTATGTTTGTTTTCATTGCCTCATCCTGTTAGGCTCAGTGCTGTTTCCCTGTTTACAGTGTTAGTCATTTGCTGAAAGAACCAATTGCTTCAGAGCCTGGGAAGGACGAGCATGTCAAGGGGGGTGGGGCAGAGAGCAGGAAACGTGACCCCAATGGACCCAGGACTTCCTATCTGTCCAAGAATGCTCTGGTCTAATGGGGTGACTTAAATTGGGACTGGGCTCGTGGTCTTTCTTCAGCTGCAGGCTGCTGATAAGGAGGCACAGGTCACCCCCAGGCAGTTTGGGGAAACATTGCCGGCCCCTGCTCTTGGTCTCTCCTTCTTTGATGTTACCCGAGCACACACACCTAAACCCTCATTTGAGCACATGCACACACACAAACACACATAAACATACACACACAAGCACACACACACACACACACACACACACACACACACACTCACACACCATTGGGGTCACTGTGGAAGCAGGCAATCCAACACTCGCTCACCAGCTGGCAGGTTGCAAAGTAGGCAGTAACCTCATGTCCACCTGTGAAGTGCTGTCCACCATTCACTCAGAATGAAGAATCATGTCCACAGCCAAGGACTGAGCCTTGCCCAAAGAGTTCACACTGGAAGCACCGTCACAAAGCAACAGGGGCCTCCACCGACCCGCTGTGGCTCTGGCTGGGCCACAGGCCTCCGTGGCTCTCCAGTGTGCTGTTCCTTATACTGAAGACGTTAGGCTTGAGCAAGGTCATATCTGGGCTTGCAGATTCCCATGGTCTCTGATGGAGGAGTAAGGCGGGGGGGGGGGGGAGGAGGGGGGCGCACGGGGGGGCGGTCTGTTGGCGATCTAAAAAAAAAAATTCAAACCTGAAAGGAAACTGAGCCCTTTCCCACGCTGAAGCTCAGCATCCTCAGGGGTTGCTGTCATGGGTTCCATTGATGGTCAATGCAACGACTTTGCACAGCTCACAGGGGCAGGTGCTCTGGGTGGCTGCTGATGACACAAAGCGCTTTTATAGGAGCTGCAGCTAGTGGGCCAGTCACTGACTCCAGTCTCATTCCAAGTAATCACAGTCCCTCAATCAAAAGTGTCCATTCGGTGATCAACCTTGGACAGAGCACAGAGTCACTCCCCAGTGAGGACCCAGAGGTGTCTGTACGCTTCCTTAGCTTTATGACCGCAGCCGAAATGGAGAGCGTTTTATGGGGTTTCATACCAGGGCAGTATTGTGTGCCCTTGGTGCTTCTGGTAGCTGATTAAAACCTACTCACGATGAGAAGGAAATAAAAAGTGATACAGCGATGGCTTATGTGATTACTAAATAACTCCAGTTCATCTGGTTGGCAGAATTGTCCAAAACTTGACAATCAAGAGGACATTCTGAGAAAAGGCATGCCTACCCAGCAGGCTAGGAACTGGTTGTCTATATCAGTTTCCTGGGGCTCACCTGCCCTGGCACAGGGGCATGAGAATTTGGGGGTGTGGGCCAGCACTGAGCATCCCTGTGCCCTCTGTTGCTCAAAAATAGTTCTTCAATTTTATCTTTTTTTAAAAAAAATATATGTTTTTGTTGATTTTCAAAAGAGATGAAGGGAGAGAGAGAGGGAGAGGGGGATAGAAATACTAATGAGAGAAAAATTTTATCAATTGGCTGCCTCTTGCACACAACCCACCTGGTATTGGACCCACAACCCAGGCATGAGCCCTTATCAGGAATCAAACTGGTGCTCTCTTGGTACATGGGTCAACACTCAACCACTGAGCCACACCAGCCGGGCTCTTGGATTTCACCTTTTCATTTATTTTTCTATGTAAGTCTTCATTTGAATCAGAATCCCACTTCAGTTCTCTTCCACACCAAACTCCTCCCAGTGGAATGTTCTATGTTTTGGGAAGTTCAATGATGAGTTTCAGATTCAGTGTTCTCCATAACAGTATCAAAGACTCAGTATTTCCATGTCGTAGCCTCAAGGAGCAGCCACTCTCAGGAGCCAGGGTCAGTGTGGAATACGTGGGCTGCAGATTAGAGGTTAGAAATTGGCTCACCCAAGATTACTGGGTGACATTATAGCCGTTCCAATGGGCCTCTGAATGTCTCAAGTCATTTTCCTTTTGCATCCTGAAATTATATGACTCCTGTCCACAGCTCCTCATCCCCCAACGAAGCCAGAATCCTCTCACGGGACCCAAAACCAAAGTGCTCCAGAAGTCCCTCTTGCTGTCGCCAGGTAAGGAGCTGGGCACGCTGGATTGGGTCCCGGTGTGGGGGTCAGGCCATGTGTTGTGTAGGATAATGACCCTCCAAGGCCTCCTGAGAAACGGGAAGGCCTGGGCCTTTGATAAGGAAGCCCGGAGCCACAGCTGTTATTGAAGCTAACAGCGACATCCTTCCCGTGCTTTGTACTTCTCTGGGTGAGGCTAGAGGCTCAGGGACCTGAGTATCGACTAGATCAGATCAACTGGGACTGATGCTAACTCCTCCGGGGGGAAAAAGTGGGCTTTTCTAACTAGACTCAGTTTGAATATCACTTTACAGATGTCCAGAACTTAAAAAATATCATTTTCTGATTAAATACTTTCCTGATCAGGTTATTATAACAACTGTCATCCCAACTAAACAGTCGAGGAAGCAAGGGCTCAGGCTGGAAGACACTGTAAATTGGTGGTGGCTTCCTTAAAGCAAATCCCAGGCCTCCGAAATTAGTGCCAGAAAGCCCTGCCACCCTGGTCTGACCAGTGCCTTCAGCCTCTGTTCATGTCCCTCCCCCACTTTCCCACTCTCCACAGTCACCTACTGTTTCTCTGCCTGTACCCCTTCCCTCCATAGCACCCCCCCCCCACACTCTCTCCAGACTTGGAAAACTTCTCTCTACTCATCAGGCCCCAGCTTAAAGCCACTGAATCCAGGCGACCACTCTGACCCATTTCCCAGAGGGAATAAATGAGGCCCATTGAAGTCAAGTACAGCTTCGCTTTCAGTAGCCCGTGATATCTATACTGACTGTCCTAAAACTGCAGCCCCTGCATCCTGATTTCCCTGGGGGCCTGTCCCGGGGGAAGATGCTGTCATTGTAACTAGTAGATATTTACAAGGAGTCCCCCTGTTTGTAGTGGGGTAGAGCAGTGGTTAGGAGGGGGAATCCACTGGGATTGGCCTAGCTCCACCACCAGCAAACCACGTGATGCTGGGCAGTATCATTCCCCTGGCAGGAGAATCTGAGGGCAGAGCCAGGCCTGTTGCAAGTGCCTGGTAGGTGTGCCCTCTCATTGCCATGGCCAGGCCCTGTCCATCAGGGTGACCGCCACCCCACACCCTCCCCTCCATCACTTTCCTGCCTTGTCCTATCTCACACCTGCAGTAGCTTTGTTCCCAGTCTCTGGCCTGTGGGTGTTAGAACTCTGGCTCGCTAATTCTTGTCAGACTGCTTTCTGTTCAAGGCCCAACCTGGCACAAAAGTATGCCCCGAGCACAGTAGAAATGCCCTCTCTTTTTAAAAAAAAATATATTTTATCAATTTTTTACAGAAAGGAAGGGAGAGAGATGGAGAGCTAGAAAAGTTGATGAGAGAGAAACATCGACCAGCTGCCTCTTGCACCCCCCCTACCAGGGATGTGCCCGCAACCAATGTATATGCCCCTGACCAAAATCGAACCTGGGACCTTTCAGTCCGCAGACTGACACTCTACCACTGAGCCAAACCGGTTCCAGCGAAATGCCCTCTCTTGATGTCATTTTCTAAAAGGAAAATAAAACCCTCATATTGTCGTGAAAAGACAATGAGCTCTCATTGGCCCCAAATCTGTAGCAACTGGGTGGTGTGGCTTGGCTTCTTTTGTTTCTTTGTTCAATTAGTTGAACAAAGTCTCCTGATTTTTCTTCCTTTGTTAACTGGCTTCTTCTGAGCCCCCTTCTCAGATGTTTCCCAAGCTGACCTCCAAGTGCCGGGACCCCTCAGGGTCCTTCTGAGGGCCTGGCTTTTCTCACAAAGAGCCTGAGCAGTGTCAGCCACCCCACAGTGTTGCTGTCAACCCTATGCTGGTAATTCCTAAATCTCTATCTTTGGCCACAATTACCCTTCTTAGCTCCAGACCCAACGGGCAGTTTTCCTTAAAAGGTAACAGGCATCTCAAACTCATAATGCTGAAATGATCTCTTTGTTTCTACTTTTATTCCCAAACCAACTATCTCCCCATAAACGTTCTCTCCCCAGCCAATGATACATCCTCTTCCTCATCTTCATTCTCCCATTTCCACCTCCCCAATTTCTATCTCCAAAGCATGTCTGAAATCTATCCATGTCTCCTCATTTCCCCAGCTCCCAACATGGGCCAGCCACCCTCGATCTCACCTGAACTCGTAAAGTAGCCACTTACTGATACTTACCACCCCCATGCCTCACCTTCTGTCCGGAAGTAGCTGCTTGCAGAATAAGCCATGCTTCCTTGCCTCTGAGCCTTCACACCTGCTGTTCCCTCTGCCTGGAACCACACCCTCCCTCGTCACCATTTCCTGTTCATCTTTCAGAAGTCAGCTTGGTTAGCACGTCTCCCAGGAAGGCTTTCCCGAGACCCAAAGTGACTTTGTCTCGGTTAAAGCTAGCAGGGACTCCTGCTGTGCACACACCTGTCCCAGCACTTAGCCCACTTGTGACTGTGATACGGTGTCTTCCCTGCACAAATGGAGTGGCGTTAGAGGCTTTAGGGCAGAGGCCATGTCCTACTCATGTTACATTCCTCGAAACATGCCATGTGCCCAGTAGGTACTCAACACATCTTTTTTTTTCTCTCTCTTTTTTAATTTTTTTTTTTTTTAATCCTCACCAGAGGATATTTTTTCATTGATTATTAGAGAGTGTGGAAGAGAGTGGGAAAGACAGAAACATCAATGTGAGACCAATACATCAATTGGTTGCCTCGTGCACGAGCCCTGACCAGGGCCCAGGCCAAGAAGAGCCTGCAACTGAGATACCTTCCCTTGACCAGAATCAAACCCAGAACCCTTCAGTCCACAGGCTGATGCTCTATTCACTGAGCCAAACCAGCTAGGGCTCAACACACCTTTTAAAAGTGAAAGAATCATTCCTTTTATTTTATTTTTGTTTGCTTGTTTTGGTATGTTTGTTTGTTTTTGCTTCATTCCTTACAAACTCAGTACTTGAGACCTAAAATATCCTCAGAGGATGTCCCTAGTCCTTCAACATTTTCTTTTTAAAAGTCCTATGCAGTTCTGGCAGACATTTTGCTACAGATGACTTTCCCCAGACATTTATTGAGGTCGTACACTGGCTCCTGGTAAAGGAATCTGGTGTTAACAGAGTCCAAGTCTTGATGTCAGCAGAAGTCTGACCGGGGACTGCAACACAGTGTGGTGGTTAAATAACCTGCGAGCATTTTGACCCACAAAGCAAGGCTCCCCTAGGATAGCAAAAACCAGGTGTGTCCCCATTGATTTCAGAGTGCCAGGAAAGGGCTAGATTTCATTTAATTGGCCTGGAGGCTTTATAAATAGCGCTCTTTTGGAATGGGAGCATGCTCCATGTATTATAATTAGATGTAACTGTGGTAGCCCCTCATGCTTATAATGATGGCGCTGGCCACAATACAAAGTGAACCAGAAAATTAAGCTAAGTGTTACGGAAAGCTAAACATTAAGTAAAGTGCTAACGAGAGCCATTGGTAAACAGTCTTGGTAACATCATTATTATTGTGTTTATTGGTTTCTCCATTGGTTTCTCCATTGTCTTTTATTAGATATTTTTAAAACCCCTTTTTCTTTATGGACTTTCTTACAATAATCCACACAGTTTGCTCAGCTAGCTCACATTTCAAGGAAGACTCAATTGCTTTCTGTGCTCTCCCTCCGTTGGGATATAATTACTGTGGAATAGGAGCCCGGCCAGCCACATGCCATTCTCTACAGTGGCTGTGGTCAGAAGGCAAGTCTAAGTTCACGTCTTCACAAAGAATCATAATTGTGCTCATGGAAATGACATGAAAAGAACTCCTATGGGTCTATTTGTTCCATATCTAATGTTTCTAACATTTTCTTCAGCTCTTCGTTCATGATGAGCAACCACAGTATGCAAAGCAGAGGTAAGAGCACTTGACCTAGGAATCATAAACAGACGGGTAAGTCCTCTCACGACAATATTCCTGCTCCATGACTTGGCTCTGTGACCCTCAGACTTGCTGAGAGGATGTAGATAAAGGGCATTAGGTTGTTTTCATTGACATTTCATTGAGTGAATATAACAATTTTCCTCTATAATTAAATAAGATCACTTAAGTGGTTTCCATTTTCCTCTCTTATGAGCATTATGATGTTTTAGATAAAAGCATGACTGGATTTTAAAACTCTAAAGTTTACATCCTCTTCCCAAATAATACAGAAAACTTTTTAAATAAAATGTTAAAAGGGGAACTATCGTTAGCATTATTCCTATTTTCAAGGCTTTAAAGTGTGGGTAAAATTAACGTACTGTGATAAATATAATTTAAACTTTAAGTGGTCAAACAGTCCCTTACAACAAACAGTTTAATGCACACAATTCCCCATTAACAAACATTCTTAGGCTCAATGTAAAAAGCTACAATCCTTGCAACCATAAAATAGAACACCGAATGTCTCAGGCATACTCTTGGTTCTTAATAATCCCCTCTTTGATGAGCAGAAGCAGACTAAATGCACATGAAACCTAACTTTTGGTATCTGGCATATCAATATTCCCTAATATTTAATATTTTACCTCAAAATTTGCTGTGTCAAAAGTATCCTATTCTTGCCGAGACCGGTTTGGCTCAATGGATAGAGCGTCGGCTTGGGGACTGAAGGGTCCCGGGTTCGATTCCGGTCAAGGGCATGTACCTTGGTTGCGGGCATATCCCCAGTAGGGGGTGTGCAAGAGGCAGCTGATCGATGACCTCTCTCATCGATGTTTCTAACTCTCCATCTCTCTCCCTTTCTCTCTGTACAAAATCAATAAAATATTTTTTTTTAAAGTATCCTATTCTTAAATGGTGATGGAAGACTTAACTTGGGTTGGTGAACACACAATTCAATATACAGATGATGTATTATGAACTGTACATCTGAAACCTATATAATTTTAATAGCCAGTCATCCCAATAAATGCAATTAAAATTTTAATTTAAAAAAGTCTTCTATTCTTTCAAAGTTCTTGTCAAGCTACTAACCAAGACTATAACTTTGGTTATATTTTCTAGACTGGATTAAGACTATATTAGCTTATAACTCTGCCATTGCACTAATTACTGCTCTTTCATTTTATTTGCTACTAGAGGCCCAGTGAACAGATTCGTGCACTGGTGGGGTCCCTTGGCCTGGTCTGCACCTTCTCACAATCCAGGACCCCTCCAGGAATCTTGGATAGCCAGTTTTGGCCCTATCCCCACAGACCCAAGACCCAATTTAGACAGGAGGGAGCTTGATCCTGTGGGTTAAGCATCTGTCCCCTCGTGGTCAGAGCACGTCATAGTGACAAGTTGACCAGTGGTTCAGTTGGTTAGGCTTTTATATAGAGAGAGGGAGAGTGTTGTCCAGTATTTTATTTCCATATTATTTTTCTGCTCTCAAGGCTTTGTGAAATTTTTACAGTTCTTTCTTGCTTGAAATTACTAAATTATTTACAAATCTTGTATTTACTATTCCTCATAACACCTCATTCCTTCCTTTTAGCCTTAATTTCCTCAAATTCATATTTTTATTATTATTTACTGAAATGAAATAAGCTGTGAAAATATGAAACCTTAGCTGTTTCATCCAAGAATATAGAGAAGATATCACATCAAAACTTGACAAGTGCCCTGGCTGGGTGGCTCAGTTGGTTGGAGCATTGTCCCACACACTAAAAGGTGGTGGGTTCAACTCTCAATCAGAGCACATACCCAGGTTGTGGGTTCAATCCCCTGATCAGGGTGAGTATGAGTAGCAACCAATTGATGTTTCTCTCTCCCTCTAAAAAGCAATCAAATTAAAAAAGAAAACTTGAAAAGTGGTATTATCTTAAAGCTAAGGTACCAGTTGAAAGCAAAACCCTTTCAAGGAATTTTTTAAATACTTTAAAATTGATTGTTCTGTCTTCTTTAAAAAAAAATTACCCTGACATGATTTTATAGCTTTATACATTAGTCACTTAGAAAATAATGATTCATAGACCTGAGCATATCTTTTCAATGTTAACATACTTCATTATGAAATAGTTTAAAGTCACTACCTACTACCACCAAACTCAAGAGAAAAGTTTTTTCAAATGCTGTTATGTCAAGATATCAGCTGCAAGTTTTTCCAAATTCCAATCTGCATTTCAAAACTCTAAATTTATAGTTAGCAGCAAATACTGCCATTGTTTTCCATGAATTATCTGGCTCACCTTGTTCATGTCTAATAAAATATCTGCCAAATGCCCAAGTCTGAATAACCACAGTTTGTTATTTTTTCATTCAGGTTAAAAAACTAACTAAAAATAAGATTCCATTAAGACAAAATGTCATTCTTCATGTTAAAAAAAAAAAAAAGTGTTGCCTGAGTTGAGAAAAAGCTTGGCTTGTTTAAGAAATTGACCAAAGTTCATTATGGCCAGAAAAGAACAGATGATGGGGGATGAGTGGGTGGGTGGATGGAACAATAGATGGGGAAATGGATGGATGGATGGATGGATGGATGGTGTATACTGGTGGATGGAAGGAAGGAAGGAACAATGTATGGGGAGATGGAGGAAGGGATGGGGGATGGAGAAATCAGAAGAAAAATATTATTGAGTGTCTCACTGACAGGTGTCAAACATTTAGGTGTTCTTTCATGTGTAATGGAAACCATGAAAGGATTTTTACCAGGGGGAGTAGCAAAGTCAGAATCACATTTTTTAAAGATTACTCTGACTGCCTTAGAGAAGAAGGGGCAAAAGCTGAAGCCAAAGAATCCAGGGAAGAGTCCCATCTAGAGTGAGGCCATGGTAGTGTAGACTAAGACTGCCACAGAGTGAGATGATGGTGGTATAGGCCAAGGTTGCCCAAGAGTGAGATGTTGGTGGTATAAACCAAGGTTGCCCAAGACATAGGGAGGACTGGCAGGTTCCATCCAGCTCCTTGTTGGAGGGAAGCAATATGACACCAACAAAATGGCACTTAAATGTACATTTACTTTTCCCAGATCGTAAAGAAAGCACGCAGTCCCATCCTCCTCAGAGATGTCGGTCTCCAGTCATCTGGGGCCCTCGGGAATATGCTCTTCATTATAAAAACATCTGCTGGAGGAAGCCTTTCTCCACAAGGTCTGATGAAGAGGTAGACGCCTCACTGCATTGTCTCTCTAGATAAACTCGACGTCTGAATAGAACTCTACTGAAAGTTGCCTCAGAGGGATATCACGATGGACTTTAACTTTTTTTTAATATTATTTGGTTCTAACATTTTAAAGAGTTTAGCTGTATAACATTTTATATTTCTCTTCCACCAGATTCTTTCATTTCTATACAGTCGTGCTCTCTGTTCCCAGGGGATGGGTTTCAAGCCCCCTGGTGGATGCCTGAAACCACAGACAGTACTGAACCCTGTATTTACTATGTTGTTTCCCACACATACATATGGACATACTTATGGTGAAGCTTCCCTATAAGTTAGGTAGTCAAGGATTAACAACAACTAACAGTAAAATAGAACAATTATAACAATATACTGAAATAAAAAGCAAAGGACTTTATTCCAAAGGACACTTGCAATAAGAGATGAGTTTGATGGAAGAGAATGACAGACCAAGTAGGAGGAGAGGTGAGAAGTAGGAGGGATACCAGGCAGGAGGACTAACTCATGCCAAGTCCTGAAGCCATGTGTCCACAGAATGGCAAGCACATCCGGCTGGCCAAACCCCTGTGCCAGGCCTGGGATGGCAGGAAGCAAGGACATGGAGTTAGGGAGGGATCTGGCTCACACACATGCTCATCATTGGGAAGATCCATCTGTGGGAGGACCAGCGACTCAGCCTCAGACTGAGCGACCAAGTACTTGCCAACCAGCTAACAGGCATTGACTTCCTGAGCCCCTTCCTCGCCTGGCATGCCCACCTGTCAGGGTTGCTGCAGGGACTGATTGGGATAATGGATGAGGAGGGGTCTTCGATGTGCTGGATTCACATAGGGAATTGTTTAATATTAGATCCTTGAGAACTGCAGGTCCATGGAGCATCTTTCTGACTGCCCTGTCTTCTGTCATGATGGATTTTATAATCCAAAGAAATCAGTTGGTATAAATAAGGGAACATGGCATGGGATAAAAGCAGGCAGAACGGGGTTCAAATTGCAAATCTAATGCAATGGGATATAGACAAGTGACCTAAAGATGCTCCCTTCTACACCTATCCTGCCCTCCCTTCCCATGACTAGGGCAGCTTAGACTCCACACACATTAACCATCCCATCTCAGTAAGCTCCAGCAGGTAGAGAGCATGAGGGTTTAGTACCCATTCTGAGCCTGGTGCACAGGGCCTTTTATGTAGACGGAGTGAAGTTTCAGGTCACTCCGTCACGCCAATTTCACAATTCCTAAGCTGCAGTTACTGCTTCTGCGTCCAGACTCGGGGACAGAACTTTTGTGCCACATCTCTACTGTCAATCAAACTGTGATTTGGCACTGGGGGAACAAAAGAACATTTTCATTAATTAACGATTAGGGCTTCCCCTTGACCTTGAGATAGTCATCATGTCACCTGTCCTGCAGGAGGACCAGCCCAAAGAATGGTACGTCGGAGAGTACCGTCGCCAGGAGGTAGAAGAGGCCTTGATGAAGGAGAACAAGGTAAGGCCTCGACGGGCCCATCAGCTTAGGGTTTCCTGCCCACAGGTCAGGGGACATAGCAGGCAGTGGACTGCGAAGGAGTGGTTCTTGCCTCACCTTGCATTTCTCAGTGCTGGCAGTTACCACAAACTCAGTAAACTAAGACAAACGGATTCTCTCACAGTTTTGGAGGTCGAATTCCTACATGGGTCTCCTGTACTAAAATTAAGGTGTAGGGCTGTGTTCCCTCTGGAGGTTCCTTCTGGAGTCCATTTCCTTACCTTTTCCAGATTTCAGGGGCTGCCAGCCAGCCTTGACTTGTGCCCTCCACCCCATGTCTGACTCTTACCTCCCTGCCTCCCTCCTACAATTGAACCCTTCCCTCCACCCCCCAGATAATCCAGGATAATTTCCCATCTCAAGACCCTTAATCACATCTGTAAATCCCTTTTTCCATGTAAAGGTGACATATTCACAGGTCCTGGAAGTTAGGACATGGACCTCTTGTGTGTAGGGGCATTATTCTGTTTTCCATAGCAACTTAATTTAAGTTTATCTTATTTAATTTTATAATATCAATACCGAGAGAGCTAGGTTTTGTTAAAATTCATTGGAGTCCTGTCACTAATGAACTCACCCGCTAATGAACACATTCATTTTTTTAATATTATTGATTGATTGGTTGATTGGAGAGAGAGAGAGAAGAGGATTCATTGTGATAAACTCATTGTACAGTTTAAGATAATAAACCCAGAAATTGGTCACACATCTTGGCCCCCTCTACCTGACTGATGTTTGGCCATGTTCTGTGCTTGAGTCTTAAGGCTGCAATTACAGCCAAATGTTTTAGGCAAAAGAAGTTCCAGAAAATGTCTCAATGCCATTCAATGTTCTCAGAGGCTGGAATATTTAAAGAGCAAGTTTTCCATTGATGAGTTATGATGATTTGGGAGATTCACTTAAGCTACTGGATCCTAATTTCCTCACCTGCAAAATGGGAATAAAACATCTCCTCAAATTTTAAGTAAAGATCAAATAAAATAATGTATGTAGAGTGCTTGATATCTTGAGAGAAATTCCAAATAAACCTCAGCTGTCAGCATCATTAGAATGTCACCATAGTTTTATTTATAAAATTTAACATTTTTAAGTATCATTCTAGAGCAACAATTTTTAACCGGTATGCCACAAATATTTTTAAAACATGCAATACCTGACTATTTAGTCAGGGGCCCTGACCCCTTTTCCCTTAAACAAATTTAAACAATGACAACAGTCAGCAGAACAACAGCTGTCTGGTGTGAATGAATACCTTGTCAGATCAGCCAAAAATATATATTTTTTTGGTGTGCCTCAGAATTGTAGCAATTAGTTTATGTGTGCTATGAGATGAAAATCGCTGTCATGTCATAAGCATTATATAAATCTATATATTATAAATATTAATTACATGTAACATGCTATAATCACATATAAGTATACAGATATTACTCATGAGAGAGATAAATACATATAACAACTATTCTAAATTATACAGAAAACCTCATTGTATAGGTCATTTGTAATAACCTATGGAATTACAGTCAGATTTCTTATCAGGTAAGTGACGTCCCGTGACCACAGGACTGAGCTGTGTAGGCAGCCTTTCCCCGGCCCTTCCGCCTGAGCCTTTCCCCAGGGAGAGCCTGACAATTGCTGGCCCACGTCAGTGCCCTTCTCAGCCCTCAGACCACCCCACACCGTGGCCCTCGCTGTCTACAGTCCTGGCTTCTGCAGCAAGCTTCCGGGCTTCCTTCCCCTCTGGGCCATTGTCTTAGAGCCTTTCCTGCCCCCTCCTGCCTGCCCTGCTCTTGCCTTCCCCTCAGGCCAGGCTCTGTTTTCTCCCCCTTCCTATGGCCTCTACACTCACTCTGACCTCAGTGACCTTGAAGCTCCACATCTCTTTTGGGGACCCTAGCCCTCCATTGACATCTCCCAAGAGCCAGGTGGGGCCTTTGGGAGCTGGTGGCTTCCTGGATCCTGGAGGTGTGGGTGCTGGAACATCTGGAAGAAGGGGTGTCATCTGACTGGTTGACTTCTCAAAAAATAACAAGAATCCTAATACATACCATCATCCCATAATACATACTGTCACCCCATAATACATACTGTCACCCCATAATACATACTGTCACCCCATAACCACCGAGTCCAACTGAGTCAAGAGTTAGTTCACCCAAAACTAAAGCTACTGGGGAACCGGGAGCCCGGGCACCACCGTTTGCACGTGGCAAGGTTGGGACGTGGGCAGCCTGAGGGGTAATCACGCCTCCTCTCCTTCAGGACGGCACGTTCCTGGTCCGAGACAGCTCGGCCAAGTCCCGCACAGAGCCCTACGTGCTGGTGGTGTTTCACGGGAACAGAGTCTACAATGTGAAAATCCGCTTCCTGGAGAGGACTCGGCAGTTTGCCCTGGGGACGGGACTCCGAGGAGACGAGGTGGGTATAACTTGACGGCTCCCCTTTTCTGCACTAAAGAAAAATGAGGGGAGAACAGGGTGCAGGGTGCTGGCCAAGGCCCCGCCATGTCCCCTGCCTGCAGGATGGGAGGAAAGAGCGCCGCCCTGGAGGTGGAGAGTGTAATTAACCCTTCCAGCCCCTCCAGCCAGCATCCTTGCACATGGCTCACACTCTCCTTCCACCTTGCTTTGCCCACTAAAGGAAACTCATTCTGCCAGGCGTCTCCATTCTGCCGTCCAGAGCCCTCCCCTGAGGCTGTTAATGCGCCCTCCATGCCAGAGGCCTTCCTGCCCCGGCACTGAGCTCCCGCTGCCGCGTTTCAGACAATGTCTGCTGGCAAGAGGAATCGGGAGGTTTGGTCCCCAGACTGAAGGTGGGCTTCCTCACAGCGCCCAATGCCCGGGGTCAGGCAGGTGGCCGGGTGAGGGATGAACCGGTGACAGCACCCATGCCTAACTGTGTCCATGAACCACAGGGAAGGGGAAAAGGAGATGGATTGTCACTGCATATGGTCACGGAATTGGTCTGTCTACATGATCTCATTTTAGTTTTCAAAAACTCGGTCACAGCTAGTCACGGCAAAGCTGGAATTCAAATTCCGGCTTCCTCACTCCATCTCAGACCACATCATGGCAAGCCACACAAACCCCGGCGCTGGGAGACAGCCAGAACACAGGTGGGAGAACAGATCACAGGGATGTAAAGGTGCCACCGTGCTGGTGAGAAAGTACCTCCCAGGTGCCTCTTCCTGCCTCTCCTGTGAGCCAGGCCTGGGGCTACAAGCCAGACAGGCCCAGCTTGCACCTGTCACCTGTCACAGTGGGGGCCCTTCCCTAGCTGAGGAAGAATCGCCCATTTTTTAAAATATATTTTTATTGATGTCAGAAAGGAGGGAAGAGGGAGAGATAGTAACATCAATGATGAGAGAATCATTGATTGGCTGCCTCCTACACGCCCCACACTGAGGATCGAACCTTGACGGGGACTCAAACCGTGACCTCCTGGTTCATAGGTTGATGCTCAACCACTAAGCCAGGCCAGCCGGTGAATCACTCATTCCTAAAGAATCTGATGGGACAGGGGATGGCTCTGCTGAATAAGAGCCAGCTCAGATGACACCCTTCTTCCAGATCTTCCAACATAAGAGCCAACATGATCCTGACTTTTGACATGTGAAAAGGCAGTCACTCTTTGATACATAAGATTTGAGGGGTTAGGACATGGCACATTTGGGGACCACCAGTCAGCCTACTATATCCATTTGCTAGTTACTGAGCCAGTCCAGTCCTCAGACCTTACCTTGTCCTGCAAAGATGTATGATCCATGGCTGAACATTATGATTGATGTTCACTGGATAAATTCAACATTGAAGACTAGAAAACAACCCATGAGTTTATTTCTTACTTCCCCTGTCTGCTTCTCGCCTTTCTCCCTCCCTCTCCCTCTCCCTTTCCCTCTCCCTTTCCCTCTCCCTCTCTCTTCCTCTCTCTCTCTCTCTCTCTCTCTCTCTCTCTCTCTCTCTCTCTCTCTCTCTCTCTCTCCTTCTCTCTCTCCTTCCCTCTCTTTTCCTGCTTTCACTCCCATGTGTGTGTCCAAACAGACGGGCATACCCTCCAGCAGTGAAATGTAGCCTACAGTGAACACACAGGGCAAACACAAAAGGCGTAAACCAACGTTAGATCCAATATTAGGATGGCATTTGCTGTCCTCCTAAAAAAATAAATAAATAAATAAATAAAATTAAAAAAACATATTTTCATATCTAAACAATTATAATTTTTAAAAGTCTCTTCAGGACACTATATCAGTTGCAGGCTTATCACTAGATGTCAATAAGGAGAATTGACAGTCTGATTTATGGCCCCTGCCTTGCCCACTTCCTACTACGTGTTTCATATAAAATGTCACCCGTGAGGATTATTAAAACAACTAATGTGGAATCCATTATTCTGGGACCCTCCTAAGCAAGCAGGAATGAGAATATGAAGCAAGCGTCTTCCCTCTGAAGATTCCCACCAGGAAAGAGCATTTCCATCACGCCATGTGCATGCACCAGTGTTGTGCAAGAGTTCTATGTGGAACGTTGTTCTCATGAATCACTTTTTGTTTTGTCAAGCATGATGAGAGAGAGAGGAAACTGGAAATGAAACAGGAAAACTTCTATTCTTCCTTAAGGCTCACAGGGATAGTCTGCACTATCCTTGGGGGATTTCATTGCTCCTTCCTCGTGTTCTTCACAACCATGGAGGCAGAAGCTCACAGCGATGGCTGTGTGTTGAGCCCTCATTGTACCCCGAGGTCTCTTCTAAAGGCTGTACAGTCAACTAATCCTCACCACGGCCCTCCCAGGCAGGTCCTAACATCACCATCGCTGTCCACAGAGAAACTGAGGCAGAGTCTATAAGGAACTTGCCCAGGGACACACAGCTGGTGAGTGGGAGAGCCCTGCATGGAACACAGGCATCTGGGCACCACTGGCCCTTCACTTAGGACAGCTTTTGCAGACCGAGTATTACCCCATTGGACAGCCAGGGAGCTGCCTTACCTTGGCCGTAGGCAGGAACTAAGTAGTATTTATCCAGTACCTGCCTATGATAGAGAGACAGCTTATCTCATTGAAAACTCTGCTAACAGTCCCAGTGACAGGCCCAGACATGCAAGTCATGTATAGTTTTAATCAGAACTCTAGAAAGACAGAACCCACTTAGAGGAGCTTAGGGGCAAGGGAGCAGGTGTGTGGACTCAGTCGCCACGAAGAACCAGAATGGCATGGCTCTGGAAACTGGCCACTGTCAGGAGACTCATCACACATGTCTTTCCTCAAGTCCTTCCTACCCACTCCCCTCCTCCATACCTTGGCAAGGGGCAGGAAGAGGAGACAGCCATGGCAGTTATGGATACCTTGCATTCCAACCTGGTATCCACCCCCCAATCTTGCCATAGCCAAATGCATCCCCCAAGGGAAGGCCCCTGGGTGGCCTGGTGAGATTCCAGCCCAAAGTTGATGGTTCCTACAGCATATTACCTGAAATGATCTACGAGTATGGGGGAATTTATTTTGCCCCCATCAGGATGTCACCTCCGTGAAGACAGGGACCTTGACCATCTCACTCCCTGGTGGCTATCCCTAAGGCCTGTGGACATTTCTGTGCCAGGATGGGGGCACAGAGGGAGGAGTAGACAGAACCAAAGCAGAATCAGGTCTTCCCCTCCATGACACCCTTCCTTCGGGCTGTGTCATCTCTGCCCTGGTCTGTTGGGACATCAGGGTCACAGCCACAGGCAACATTGCATCAGGTAAGCACCAACAGGTGTCCAGCAAAACCAGATTCCATTCCTGGTCCTGGCCTTGCAGGTATGTGACCTCTGAGCTGGAGTGTCTTTAGCTCTTCAAGGTTATTGCTCACCTCACAAAATAGCCCAGGAGGCTCAATGTTGTGTTCAGAAGTTTAGAAGGCAGGTGGTGTGAGTTATTCCTCATTACTTCCCAGCATTCCCTTCCAAGGACTCCTCCAAACTCAGCCAATCAGACCTGATGCCCACATTCTCTGAACCCCCATCTTGCTTCTTCCTCTGCTTTTACTATCTTTTACCCGCCCTGTCGGTGTATCTGGAATCACCCACAATGAATAACCCACTTCAGGTCGGTATCTTCAACAAAGCACTTTCTTTTTTATTTTATTTTCTTTTTTTAATATATTTTATTGATTTTTCACAGAGAGGAAGGAAGAGGGATAGAGAGATAGAAACGTCGATGAGAGAGAAACATCGACCAGCTGCCTCTTGCACACCCCCTACTGGGGATGTGCCCGCAACCAATGTACATGCCCTTGACCGGAATAGAACCTGGGATCTTTCAGTCCGCAGACCGACGCTCTACCACAGAGCCAAACCGGCTTCAGCAACAAAGCACTTTCTGATGCCCCTAAACTTGACATAATCTTACTTTCTCTCAAAGCTGCTCAGGACTTTATCTGCACATCTCTAGAAACATAGAAGTGAAATGATCTGCTGTTTATGTCACAAGAAGCCCAGGGAAGAAAGCTAAATTGATGAAGAACCAACAGCAGCCCATGGTCATCACAGACATTCTGATCACACTAAGTTAGAACTGGAGGGGTTACAGGAGAGAGTTCTCTGCAGGCCTTTCCCACCAATTTACTAAGCGAAAGCCAAGTCTTGATTGTCTGCATTTGGGTTTGTCTCGGGTAGGGGACGGTAAGGGAGACACCAGGCCTTCCCCTGGGCTGACTGCTGTGAAACTCACTCATCTAACTTATCTTACCTGCTCACAATAGGGACCTGTGATAAAGGTGAAGCTTGGCCCAGTGATCTAACTACTGGATGTGGGAAGCTCAGCTGCCTTAGCTCATCTTTGGTCTCCCCAAGTGCCTTTTCTCCCTTATTATCTTACTAGTGGCCCAGTGCATGAAATTCATGCACATTAAAAGGGAGTTAATTAGAGGAAATATTTTAATATTGCTATTTTCCCTTTATAATAAAAGTGTCATAGATTAAAGAAAATTAGTAAAATGTATATGAAAATCTCCCTCCTGTCAGAAACTGGGGCCTACGGAGGACCCAGAGTCAAATCCTCACTCACCCGCATGCACCTCAAAATCGCTCCTCGTCCCACCCCTATTGGGGGAGACCCAGACCCAGCTAGCCCCACCCCCAGTAAGCCCCACCAGGAAGGGGACACAGCCTCAGGTCCCCCACCCCAGCCTGGCACCACGCAGCCTCAGGTCCCTGCTGATGGGTTGTTATGGCATCACTGCATTACAGCATCATGGCATGGTGACCATCTGAATATTAGCCTTTTATTATGATTCTTGTCACTCATCCTTTAAGAGATTGCCACACCCCTTTTTAAAATGGCTTTCTGACACACCTTTACAAACTTCCCTCCCCAAATGTTAATTCCCTTTTCCAAGTAAAACTGAACATCTGTACTTTAACCTCCAAGCTCCAAAGGGATGTGAATTTCATTAACTTTCTTGTCTGTGTTTCAGAAGTTTGACTCGGTGGAAGACATCATTGAACACTTCAAGTATTTTCCTATTGTGCTGATCGACGGGAAAGATAAGACCCGGGCCCACAAGGAGCAGTGCTACCTGACACTGCCCCTCCCTCTCAGCAGACTCTCCTTGCCTCCGTAGCCCGATCTGCTCATCTTCAGTCCACTGGATCCCGGGCCTCTATCACTTTTCACCTATTTCCAAAGACTCTTCATCTGGGGTTTTAAGGGAAAACATCTTAGATTTCGTGGGGGGGGGGGAATCGTTCTATGATGGGAATTGGAAACTCAACCATGGTTTTTGAAATCTCAAACCACAGAACAAATATGTATAAGTTGCCTAAATCAAACTTAGCTTTTTAAAAATATCTTTTAAAAATATCTCACGTTACAGATAAGCAGCAGAGGTTGCAAGAAACTATCGCTGGGATGTTTGCAGCTGGCACATGGCGAGTCTGGGAGACACACCCAAGTCTATGCTCTTCCCAGGACCTCGTACGGCCTTGTTTATTTCAGAAATGTTTGGACTTGTGCATTTACAATGTTTGGGGGATCCCTTATGCTGAAGGTGTTAGTGAATGTCGGCTCTATTGTATTTGTCATCCCGGCAATTCAATTACAGAGGAAAAATATGGTAGGAAAACAAGAGCACTTGTGAACATCGCTTGCCAGGCAGAAATCAGAAATGCATTCCCTATGGTGCGGAATGGCCAGCTCCAGTATACTCTACTTTAGGACACAGCCTCAGGTCCCCCACCCCAGCCTTAGCTTTAGGACAAATGGAATTAGTAAACTCCTAGTAAGGGAGTAAGCTTAAGCCTGAGGGAAGGTATAGTTATTCTTAAAAGTCCAGTTGTGGACTTCCATTCAAAGGAAGAGCAGGCTTCACGTTCGCGTTACATTGTGGGAACATTGCACTATGGCTGCTCAAGGCCAGGAGGATGTACTTTTATTCAACAGAGGAAGAGAACCCAGATTTTTACATATTCTTGCCTGCCTCCCTCCAAGCACATCTTCCCACGTACATTTGCTGCCCTGTGAAATTTTACAGAGAGAGAGAGAGAGAGAGAGAGAGAGAGAGAGAGAGAGAGAGAGAGAGAGAGAATGATTTAAAAATTCAGGGTTACCTACCTCAAAATATATCACTAAATAAATTCTTGTAGTGAAGTTTAAAAAATTTTTTAAAAGGGGCCTGGTTGAAATGAAGAGTACACAGTGACTTCAAATGTTACCAAAGCTTCCATGTGAAAGTTATGTCATTGTAGCTTCCATGTAGAAGTAAAACCAAAATGGAATTAAAAGGGTTACCAAGGAAAATACTACACACAATGCCCAGGATTATCTCTTGTCCAAAATAGCAGACAATGAGCACTGGGAGCATTTACCAACCAGGTGCCTGGCTCTGACCTTTCACAAGGAGATTGTGAGGTAACACCTCTAGGACAGACCAGGAGCATTTGATTCAGGAGCTCCTTGTAAAGTTGGAACTTCTTTTATATTTTTTTTTATTTCAGAGAGGAAGGGAGAGGAGAGAGAGAGAAAAACGTCAATGATGAGAGAGCATCATTAATTGGCTGCCTCCTGCACACCCATACTAGGGATCAAGCCGGCAACCGGGGTATGTGCCATGACTGGGAATGGAACCGTAACCTCCTGGTTCATAGGTCAATGCTCAATCACTGAGCCTCACCAGTCGGGCAAGTTAGAACTCCTGATGCCTTCCTGAGCCTGTCTTAGATGTGCCTGCACAGGGTAACATGGAAATCAAGAGATAAGCGTGTATACATTGGAGCCTGGCTACTAAGGAGCAGACTGGTGAGAGCTGAGGGCAGTAGGGGGGCTGGTCATGCTCACCTGGGCTTCAGCAAACCAATCTATTGGCAGATTTTACTAAGACCTCTGATTCACTTATCATGAGGCCATGCCATTCTGTGCTGTGTTCTCAAGAAATGTTTCTGAATCTCCTCAAGCAATGCTCCTGTTAAAATAAATGAACATCAGGTGGTGGCTAGCATGTTTATGGGGCTTATGGTTTTTTTTTTTAATACTTTATCACCTCTTATTCATAAATGCATGATATGTTGCTACAAGGAAAAGGCAGTAGAAATCGACCATCTTAAAATAAAATGCTTATGATACTTAACATGTGAAAAATCTCTGAAAAAAAATAGAAAACTCAAAACATTGGCAGGGCTGGCTTAGTTGACTGGGATCTGAGGCACGTTAGCTGGGTCTTTCTGGAACTCAGATGCCAAGAAAGAAATTAGAAGTGCAAACATTTAGTGGAAATAATGCCGGGGAGAAGGAACAGGAGTGGGCAGGGAGAGCCTACAGGCTGTGACTTAGGTCTGACACTTAGGGAGGAAAAAGGGGAGGAGGAAAGATGAGTAGGAAGAGCATCAGACTGAGACATAGCACTGGGAGAGCCTTGGCCAGCCCATCGCTAAGTTCCAGAGCAAAGATTGCCCACAGAGGAGAGAGTCCCACACTGGGCAGAAGTGGCCAGGTGTTCGTACACCACCCATGTTGACTCATTGCCAAGGGCTGTCCAGGAAAAACATGACCTTCAAATGCCATAGGACATCCTGAGGCACTGCAGCTGGAGACTGTCAGAGAACTTGGCAATCAGCAAGTTCTCCTTGCAAGGAAGAGCCAGGTGGCCCATCCCCGTGTCTGCCAAAGGGACAGTCTGGTTCTCAGTGCCGATTGTAATGACATGTTGCTTATAAGTCAATTACTACAGGATAAAGATTTATAAACTTTAACTGTATTTGATTATTACAACAGTTCTGTAAAGAGGGCAGGGCCAGGATTCTGAACCTGTGTTATAACTGAGGAAGCTGTGCATTCTTGGCCAAAATCTTATGGTGATTTTGGCCAAGTCATGGCTGGAACCAAGTTTTTATACACAACACCCCATTCAGTGTCTAGCGTCTCATTGATTTGTAATTAAAAGCTCAATGATTTGGTGCCAAAACTGATTTGGCTCAATAGTGGAGCTTCGGTCTGCGGACTGAAGGATCCCGGGTTCGATTCCGGTCAAGGGCATGTACATTGGTTGCGGGCACATCCCCAGTGGGGGTTGTGCAAGAGGCAGCTGATCAATGTTTCTCTCTCATCGACATTTCTAGCTATCTTTCTCCCTTCCTCTCTGTAAAAAAATCAATAAAATATAGAAAAAAAAAAAAAAAAAAAAAAAAGCTCAATGATTTGGTCTTGTCATGCCCAAATTCCAAAGGTATTTGATCCCTCTTCAATTATGATTTCATTTTCAGTTGAAAAGTGTCACTTTATACCTCTCCTCAGTAGAGCAGTGGGATTTTAGCTTTATCTGATTATAGCATCCATGAATATTCCTTTTTGACAAAATCATCCCCATTTGGATCCATTTATATCTTCCTCATCTTTAATAATATCTTGTTACAAGCACCAGTTTGTGTATGTATATGTTGTTAGGCAATCTTGTAGATGTTGGATTACAGCAGTGAATTAAGTGGGAAAAATAGCGCAAATAAGTATACAATAAATAAGATCAACTAAGTTGATTTCCCATGACTTTTTATTTTAACACTTTATCACCGAGTGCTTTTAGTGAAGCCAATAATAAATATTTTGCTGAGCCATTTATGATGGCTTTAAATTGTTTTCAACCAGAAAAATGTTAAAATTTTCAAACTTAATGGAAAACTTCTGCTCTTGGGTGTACTTGTGTGGGGGGTTGGGAGAGCTATTGAGGAACCACAAGGCGAGATATTAAGATAATGTCTAGAAAAATCTCCAAATATTTGGAAATTAAGCAACACATTTCTAAATTATTCAAGGTCAAAGAAAAAACACAAAGGTTTAAAACTATTTAAAAATGAATAATAATGAAACATAACAGCAAAATTTAAGGGAGATAGCTGCCATTTAACTATGATTTAATATAAGCATCGATAGCTTAAAAATTCTTAACTGCTCATATTAAAGATAGTTTCATAATGAAGTACCTACGTTTCCAGTTTAAAACATAAGGAAAAACATAAATTAAATCCAAAGTAAGTAGAAAGAAGAAAATATTAAGGATAAGAGCAGAAATCAATGATACAAGCAAAAAGAAATAAAACCAACAAAGCCAAAAGTTGGTTCTTCAAACAATTAAAATTAATAAACAGGTAGCAATAGTAATAAAAAAAATAAGCAAAAGAAAACAAATTACTAAAGAATAAAAGGGAAAGCAACAAATTTTATATACATTGATAGGCTATTAAAGACATATCATAAGCACCTTTCAGTGAGCTTGAAAAATATAATTCCATCGAGACGATACTAATACAAGAAGAAACAGGAAATCTCAACAGCACTTTAATTTTTTAAAATATATTTTTACTGATTTCAGAGAGAGAGGGAGAGAGAGAGAGAAACATCAATGATGAGAATCACTGAGTGAATTGAATCCTGCATACCCCCTTCTGGGGATGGAGCCTGCAACCCAGGATGACACTCTATCCACTGAGCCAAACCAGCTAGGGCCAGCACTCCATTTTTTAAGAGAAATTAGCAACTTTTCCACACAAAGAAAGCTCTATATCAAGCATGTCAACCTCGCAGCCCAAGAGCCACATGCCTCGTTTATTTGGCCCATGTTAGCCTTTGAGTTTAACATGCTTGCTCTACATCATGAAGGATCCTATAAAAAAATGTTAAAGTTATAACACAAAATTCACAAACTTTTTAAGAAGATCAAGAAAGAACATTTCTGAACACTTTATAAGGTTCACAAAAACCCAATCATAAACAAATACACAAATAAGCACATAAACCTGACACAGACAATACAAAGAAAGGAAGTTCAGATTATGTGCCCAAACAAAACTCCTTTACAAAATGCAAATAACTAAATAGATGGTAGGTGGAGGAGTCAGGCTTCTCACAACTAGAATGAAAGATAAGCAAACATCAGGTCAGAATGAGCCATAACTCTGCATGAGATTTGGAGACATCAGTATGAATTCATGTTTTGCTTAATATAGATCTACAGGAATAAATATGGAAATCATTACACATGTTAGTATACACACATCAAGTTCCAAGCTCTGTGCACTTAGGGGGCTAAGCAGCAATGAGACTGGTAGAAAAAAAATAGTGGAAGGAAGTGAGGAG